CTGAAATCAGTACAAACTAAAATGGTACGTTTCAGCCCATATTTTTTTTCTTCATATTTTTAAGCTATATTTTACATGTTTTTTTCATCTATTTTAAGATACTAAAACATTTTTAAGCAAACATCCACCAATTTTGACGTTGATTTTTTTCTATTTCTTTTTTATAAAATAAAAATCAATTTTTATCGTACAGTTTTTTGATGCATTTCACCCCATTTTTAAGATTGTTTTTTAAAAAGTTGTGGATTTCTAAAGATTTTGGCCAGATTCCAGCGGATCCATAAAAAAACCGCTGACTTTGAGTTTCTTACAAAAGAATTAAAAAAAAAATGATAAAGCACCTTATACTAACTTAAAAAACATAAACAAAATGTGGGGTGAAACGTACCATTTTACTTAGTACTAATTCGTCTCTTTTTTTGGTTTTATATATACCTATATTTAATTTTATACGACTGGATATTCCTGCACATCTGATCCTAGACATCCAGATTTTTGGAAAAAAATCAAAATTGTATAACATTTTACAATTTAACTTTGAAATTGTAAAACCGAATGCTTTGAAAACTTGTACGCTTTTGAAGATGATCGTAAACATGGTAAATCGTTAATCAAAATTTTTTCGTTTATGGCTTCCTAAAAATTGATGACGTCATTTTATAAGTTTACAGAACAAATGTTTCTTAAATTTAAAAGAACAACATACTCCATATACTTATGTGTAATTTAAAATCCGTGTTGAATTTTTACCCTTAGCATCCAGATTTTTGGAAAAAAAGTCAACAATGTGAAACAATAATTTACAACAATTTAACTTTGAAATTGCAAAAACTGAATGCTTTTAAATCATGCAAATATTTTAAGATTATTTGAAATATGGTAAATAGTTAATCAAAATTTATCTGTTATCTTACATTTTTGCCGAATTGCTTCCAATTTATGAGTGTTTTTGGGAAAAAAGTTCAGTAAGAATGAATCAATTAGTCCTTTCCTCTGCTTCGAGGGAACAAAATCAACCAAATTGCATTTTCTTTTAACCGCTGATGCCTGTAATCTGAACGTGCTAATAGTCGAATTTGGTCGAAGTATAAACATAAACAGTCGAAGTTAAGCATATACAATAAATTGAGCATGTCTACATTTTTTCCTGTTAGTTATCTGCTTGAATATATTTCACATTTAAAGACGAAACTCTCAAAATCTAATTTTATAATTTTTTAAAGAAGCGGAATTTGTCGGACTTCTTCAAAAGCGAGGAAAGTTCTGTCAAAATAACCTTCCACAATTTTTTTACTAGCTTTGTTTTTCTAGGTAGCGTTATCAAAATTCAAAAAACGTCATTTTTTCAAAATGACGCTTGTAAAACCGAAAATGATGATAGCAATAATAAACCTAAAAAACATCTGTGTACAATACTATAGGGCCGTACTTTGTAAATTTCCATACGGACCCCCATGTCCTTAGTCCGACACTGTTCCGAACATAAACTAGCTAAATATCGACTAATTTCATCTTTCTTCGACGTTTCATAAGTACTAGAATATGAAGGAATAAGTTCCCGTTTCCGTTTGTCTGTCGTGTGTCTGTTAACGATTTATTAGGCAAATTATCTCCGAAACTATTAGACTGCTTGGTATAAAATTTTGGGTGTGCATATATTAAAGTTATCATGTAGGTAATACCAAAAATTTGATAATGTCATTTCGACATTTTGATAAGAAAGTCCCATTTAAAATTTTAAATTTGAAACAATATATGTACTTATGTAGCTATACGATATTAATTCACCCTTATTTTTGGAATTACACATTTCAAAAAAACAAAATTTAAGCTTGCCGTGAACATGACAAATTTCAGTAATTTTGATCTTAGCACACAAGTAACATGAAAAAAGATGGAAAATCAAATTTTATATATAAAAGTAAAGTCCAAGCCATCACACCATGATCGAAAAAAATCTTCTAGTGTGCCATGAAATTTATTTTTAAAATAATCATGTTGGCAACACCAACGCGTTTCTTGTTTAGTTTGACAGTTACGGTTAAATAACTGTCAAATAGCTGCTATGCCAACATCATTATTTTAAAAATTAATTTCATGGCTCACCAGAGGATGTTTTCTCTGCTTGCGATTTCTGTTCAATAGGGTTGACAGCGACAAGATTTGACGCTTTATTGACAAGCACATTAATTAATTAAGCAGACAACTTTGTTTTATTGAAAAATACAAAGTTTCTATTTTACGTTACTTTACGTTCAAGTTCTTTGACATTCAAAAGAATTTGACAACATTGTAACCTCAATCAAGTTTCCCTCATTTTATTTTTGTGAGTGATACTGTTGCGTTTTCCAAAAATATAAAAAAAAATAAAATTAATACATTTTTTGGATTTTTATAATGTACTGTTAAAAATTTTGACATATTTCACTGGAATATTTTGGGAAAATGCGAGAAGTTTTGGAAGAAATGAAAAGGAAAGTAACTCTCGTTGATCGAAAATAACTTGAAATTTTCGTAAGTGTACAGTATCGAAAATTTGCGATTTTGAAGAAGTTACCTAAAAATCCACTAATATTTGTGGTCACGTTAAAATTTTAAAAAGATTCACTTTGAAAATCTTTTTTTTAACAATTGTCATATTTCATTGGACTATTTTGGAAAAATCCGAGCAATTTTCGAAGAAAAGAAGACGAAAATAACTCCTGCAGGTCGAAATCTATAAAAAAAAATATTATTGAGTAATTTTCAAAGGGACGCACGGTTGAAGTTGTAACTCTGCGTTGTCAATTTATATAAATTAAACACGTATACGCGGCGAAGTCATTTATTTTCTCTTAAAAAATGATAAAAACCAAAAATATGTTGCATTTGTATTTTGTGACAAAATGATGATTAATGATGATGATTGGGTTAATTAAAGTAAATATCACCGACACCGAACTCGTAGCTCGAACTCGACATCCTATTCCGGCGCGCGTCCTATACGTGTTCTATATTACAACAAAAAAGCAAAAGAGTAAAAACTCCAATAAATTGAGATTTTCGCAAAGTGTGGAGTACTGAAAAATTGGGCTTTTGAAAAAGATTCCCTTTGAAATTCAATTTTTTTTTAATCTTAAAAACTAACACATTTGATTGGACTATTTTGCAAAAATGCCAAGAATTTTCGAAGAATGACGGACGAAAATAATTTTTGGAGGTCTAAATCTACAAGAAACTTTTCTAAGGTAATTTTCAAAGCTAGTCAAAAATAAATTGAGATTTTTATAAGTTGCAGTATTGAAAAACTAGGCAGGAAAAAATATGAAATATAGACCTATTGCTTGCCTATACAAGATTACAGGAAAAAGTTAAACCACCCACCCACCGGATCTCTCTTTTTTTTCTTCTGAAATAAGAAATAAATCTTATAATAAATAGTATAACAAAGTAGTTACGATTAGCGCTTTTTTTACATTTTAATTTCGATCAGTTCCCACTCTATGAAAGAAGCCCCACCCACCCATTCACCTCCATTTCGGTGATTAATTTTATCTGCTCTGTGGATCTTATACAGAAATAGAATTAGTCGCTAAGATGAGAAATATAGCCCCGCCCACCCACCCTGTCTCAATTGTGATGTTTTTTTTTATTCGTCGTGAGCCAAGAGATGGAGCTTAACTGCCAAATCCTCTGAGAAAACAAAGGGGGGGTGGGTGGGGCTAGTACTTGTTAAGATAAGACTGACTTTGGCAAGTGACATATCTCTAAGAAAATAGAAGGTGGGTGGGTGGGGCTACTACTTGCGATGATAAGACTGAACAATATTAAGAGTAGTCACCCGAATGAAGAGGGGGCGGGTGGGCGGGCCTATTGCTTGCCTATAAGACTGTCTAGTAAAAAGCTAATATTAGCCCCCCCACCCACCCGTTCTCTCATTTTTTTCTTCTAAAATAAGAAATAAATCTTATAATAAATAGTAGAACAAAATAGTTATGATTATCGCTTTTTTACCGCCTAGTTACTTATAACTCCCGCGCTACAAAAGAACATATAAGTAACCCCGCCCACCCACCCGCCTCCATTTCGGTGATTAATTTTATCTGCTCTGAATGAAAGATAGTTTGAAATCGAAAAATAAACTTTTTTAAATTTTTCTAAGGCTGGCTTGAAAATTGTACATAGTTTGTCTAAAATTTGAAGATTATGTCATTCTAAGAAAGTTTTATATTGTAGTGATTCATATTTTTTCCACATTTGTAACAACCAAACGAATTAAAATTCCACTGACATATATGCAAAATTATTTTTAAAATTCTGAAAATTATTTAATTATTATTTTGTTTTTACTTTCTTTTATTGTGGCTTAGTGGATAATAAATTTGATTATATTGAAAATATGTATCCACAAAACTAAATAATAATTTTGTTTTTCTAGTGTATTTTATGAAATTGTGTAAAAATAAGGTACGATATGAACAAAATCTGGAACATTAAAATTTGTCCACTTGTATTGATTGCGGAATTTATGAAAAGTCTGAAAGTTCGGAATTCAGTCAATGATCCGTGTTTTTGAAATCAATATTTGGTGAGATTTTGGAAAATAACAATAATAATAATAATAATAAAAATCCAAGAGTGAGGGAAGTTCAGTCTACATAACTTTAGAAAATCTTTTCAATATTGTCACAACAGGAATAATGAGAATATATTTTTACATGCTGAACTACGACTAAACTTTAAAATCTGACTTTTTCATTACTCTGACATAAAATACCTAATTTAAAATCACAAAAAGATCTAAAGAAAACAGTCCTAGCTTTAAATATATTTATTGCCAAAACTAACATCACCCAATTAATGTCTGTGGCAACTTTTTGGCAACCAGTGTAGTTTTTAATTTGCATTTCATCCAATGCACACTCTTCAAACACGTTTTCTCAATTAATTTTCTCGGGTTACTGCGACAGAATAAACAACTACAACAACTCATAAATGTACTGGTTTTTCCCCATTTTCAGTCAAAGATGCCTCGAAAACGCCGCTCCCCCGAGATGGACGACTCCGACGAGGACGACGACTCGCGCCACCCCCAGCGGAACGCCGCCAACGCCCGCGAGCGCGCCCGGATGCGCGTCCTCAGCAAGGCCTTCTGCCGGCTCAAGACCACCCTGCCGTGGGTGCCGGCGGACACCAAGCTGTCTAAGCTGGACACGCTGCGTCTGGCCACCAGCTACATAGCGCACCTGCGGGCCGTCCTCATGGACCAACCTGTGCCGTCGGACCAGATCCACAAGCACCCGTTAACGCTTGTGAGTTTTCGGTGTTCACACAACTCATGTAAATTTGAGGGAAATTCGTTTTAATAATAGAATATTTTGCTTATGTTGGAAGGCTGGAGGCAGCACTTCGCTTGAATAAACATCTCGGATGTCGTTGATAATTAGAGCATTCCGACAAATGTTCCCAGCTGTTAGGTAGCGAAATAAAAGAGGTTCTTCGAGCGGGATAAACAAAGTTAAAATTGGACGGTTTATGTGACAGAGTGGGCTAATTTTTTGTGGGGAGTGATGGGTCGGCTTTAAAAAATAAAGTATTTTTTTGTTGGACGTGATGTTCAAGTTTTTGCTTCCTGAGCTAGGACAGCTTATAATTTATCATAAAAAAATAAAAGCAAAATCCAATCTTATAGTAATTATTATTCGAAAATCTGAATTTACTTACCTTCCACCAATTTTTTCATATTAAAATTTTTCGTTTTCCCTTTTTCTTCAATTTTACAATTTTTTGTTTTTTCATTTTCTTTCATTTTTCAATTTTTATCATTTTTAATATTTCGGTTTCATAACTTTTCGTTTTATCAGCTTTCATTTTTTCAATTTTTCAATTCCTCGACTTCTAAATTATTCAATTTTTGCGTTTCTTCTATTTTTCGATTTGCAATTTTTCAATTTTGCAATTGTTTGATATTATAATTTTTCAGTTTTCGAACTTCCAGTTTCTCAATTTTTAATTTTTCAATTTTTCAAGTCCTTGATTTTTATTTTTCATTTTGCCTATTTTTTAATTTTCATTTTCTCGATTTTATACGAGAATTTTTCGTTTTTTCAATTCCTTTATTTTTTCGATGTTTTTTTCGATTTTACAATTTTTGCTTTATTCAATTTTTCAAATTTTCAATATTTCATTTTTCATTTCCTCGATTTTCCAATTTTTAAGTTTTTCAATTTGACAATTTTTGGATTTCCAATTATCAGATTTTCCGATTTCTTTAAATTTCGATATTTAGATTTTACAATATGTACATAGTTCGTTTTTTCGAGTTTACACTTTTACGACTTTCAAAATTCTCAATTTTTAATCTATCGATTTTTGATTTTTCAATGTTACAAATTTTGAAATTTTTCCATTTTTTTTTAATTCGAAAAGTTGAAAAAACGAAAAACTAAAACGGAAAAAGTAAAAAAATCTAAAAATTGGAAAATCCAAAAATTGTGAAGTCGAAAAATTATAGAATCGTAAAATTTGTAAAGTTGAAAGAGTTTTTCACTGAACGATCGAATAATTGAAAAATTAAATATCGAGAAATTGAAAAATTGAAAACAGAAAAATTAAAAATACAAAAATGGAATAAACGAAAACATTCCAAAATCGTAACTGAAAAAGTGAAATCCAAAAAATTGCAAATTCAAAAATTGTAAAATCCAAAAACTGAAAAATTGAACATTGAAAAACCGAAAAACTGAAACATTAAAGACAATAACAAAACAAAATAAAAAATTGCAAATCGAAAAATTGAAGAAATGAAAAATTGCAAAATCTAAAAATGAAACATCCGCAAGTCAGAAAATCGAAAAAATGAAAAATCAAAAAAAGGAAAACTCAAATAGTTGCATATCGTAAAATTCAAGAAACAAACAAATGAAAAAGTGAAAAACTATAAGTAGTAGAATTGAAAAAGAAATAAATTAAAAAATTGGAACAGTGAAAAATCGAAAGATTTTAAAAATAAAGAAAATAAAAACCGAAACGAAAAATGGCAAATCGAAAATTTTAAGAACTGAACAACTGAAGAATCGAAAAATTGAAAAATTTAAAGGTCGAATAAGTGAAAAAGTTTTAAAATCCAGTAACTGTAAAATGGCAAAATTCTAAAATCATGAAATTGAAATGTAAAATATAAGTATTTAAAATGCAGCTAGAAAAATTGTAAATCAAAAATTGAAGACACGAAAAATTTAAAAATCATGAAACTGAGAAATCTTAATTTGAACAAACAGAAAATTTAAAAATCTGAAAGTTGAAAAATCCAAAAATTGAAACTCGGAAAACCGCAAATTGAAAAATTGAAAAATACAAACATTGAAAAACTTCATATTGAAAAAAAAAAATTATAAAATCAAAATATTCAAAAACCGGAAAATTGAAAAAATAAAGAAAATAAAAAACTGAAACGAAAAATTGCAAATCGAAAAATTGAAAAATTTCACTTTAAAAAAAGAAAAATTATAAAATGAGACCACTGAATAACCGAAAATTGAAAAAATAAAAAACCGAAACGAAAACTCGTGAAAAATTGCAAAATCTAAAAACTGAAACATCCAAAAGTTGGAAAATCGAAAAACTGAAAAATTTTAAAATGAAAACTCGAAGAGTAAAATTGAAGAAACAAAAAAAATAAAAATTGAAAAATTTCAAATAAATTAAAAAAACAAGAAACTGAAAAATCGTGAAATTGAAGAAACAAAAAATTATTGGAACATTGAAAAATTGCAAATCGATGATTTGAAGAAATAAAAAATTGAAGAACAGAAAAATTGAAAAAATAAAGAAAATAAAAAACCTAAACGAAAAATTGCAAATCGAAAAATTGGAAAATTTCACTTTAAAAAAGAAAAAATATATAAAATCACAACATTGAATAACCGAAAAATTGAAGAAATAAAGAAAATAAACCGAAACGAAAGATTACAAATTGAAAAAAAGAAAAATTGAATAATTGAAAATTGGAAACTCGTGAAACTGCAAATCGAAAAATTGCAAAATCTAAAAACTGAAATATGGAATAGTTGAAAATTGAAAAACTGAAAAATTTTAAAATGGAAACTCGAAGGGTCAAACTGAAGAAACAAAAAAAATAACAAATTGAAAAAATTTCAAATAGAAAAATTACAGAAACGAAAAATTGGAAAAATGAAATTGAAGACAAAAGAAATTATAAAATTGGAACCTTGAAAAATTGAAAATCGAAGATTTGAAGAAATGAAAATTGAGAACAGAAAAATTGAAAAGTGGATAAATGAAAAAGTTTTAAAATCGAAAAATTGAAAAAATAAAGAAAATAAAAAACCTAAACGAAAAATTGCAAATCGAAAAATTGGAAAATTTCAGTTTAAAAAAGAAAAAAATTATAAAATCCGAACATTGAATAACCGAAAAATTGAAGAAATAAAGAAAATAAAAAACCGAAACGAAAAATACAAATGGAAAAACTGAAGAAAAGAAAAATTGAATCATTGAAAATTGAAAACTCATTAAACTGCAAATCGAAAAATTGCTAAACCTAAAAACTGAAATAACCAAAAGTTGGAAAATTGAAAAAATTGAAATATCGATAAATGAAAGTTTTAAAATCGAAAAATTGAAAAAAATAAAGAAAATAATAAGCCGAAACGAAAAATTGCAACCCGAAAAATTAAATTGGAAAATTTCACTTAAAAAAAAAATTATAAAACCACAACATTGAATAACCAAAAAATTGAAGAAGTAAAGACAATAAAAAACCGAAACGAAAAACTCCAAAAAGAAAAACTGTAGAAAAGAAAAATTGAAAAATTGAAAATTGAAAACTCGTGAAACTGCAAATTGAAAAATTGCAAAACCTAAAAACTGTAATATCCAATAGTTGAAAATTGAAAAACTGAAAAATTTTAAAATGGAAACTCAAAGGGTCAAACTGAAGAAACAAAAGAAACTAAAAAATTGAAAAAATTTCAAATCGAAAAATTACAGAAACGAAAAATTGGAAAAATGAAATTGAAGAAACAAGAAATTATAAAACTGGAGTCTTGAAAAATTGAAAAGCGAAGATTTGAAGAAATGAAAATTGAAGAACAGAAAAATTGAAAAGTCGATAAATAAATGAAGAGGTTTTAAAAAATCAAAAAATTGAAAAGTGGAAAAATTCTAAAATTGTAAAATTAAAAAACTGAAATTTTTTTAATTATTTTTATTATTACATATTTAAAACGAAACATAAAAAAATTGCAAATCAAAACTGAAGAAAGAAAAATAAAAAAATCGAAATACTGAAAAGCGAAAAATTGAAAACCGAAAAAGTGAAAACCAAAAATTGAAAACCGAAAACTTGCAAATCGAAAAACTGAAAAATCCAGAAGTTGAAAATTAAACACATTATTTTTAGAAAGATTATAAAATCAGAACAATGAAAAATCGAAAAATTAAAAAATAAAGAAAATATAAAAACCAAATCCAAAAATTACAAATCGAAAAATTGAGGAAATGAAAAATTGAAACATCCAAAAGTTGGAAATGAAAAAACTGAAAAATGAATTGTATGTCCTAAAACTGAATAAATGAAAAATTGAAAATGAAAAACCAAAAAATTATCAGATCAGATCATTGAAAAATCGGAAAATTGAAAAATAATAAAAAAAACCGAAAGAAAAATTGTAAATCGAAAATTTAAAAAAATAAAGAGTTGAAGAATCGTAAAATTGAAAAATTGAAAAAAAAATCTGAAAATTGGAAAATCAATAAATTGAAAACCGAAAAATTGAAAAAATAAAGAAAACAAAAAACCGAAACGGAAAACTGCAATTTGAAAACTCCTGAAATTGCAAATCTAAAAATTGAAACATCCAAAAGCTGAAAAAAGGTAAAACTGAAAAATTTAAAAATAAAAATTAGAAGAGTTGCATATCATAAAATTGAAGAAACAAAAAAAATTAAAAATTAAAAAATTGCAAATAGAAAATGAAAGAAACGAAGAGTTGAAAAAATTGAAATTGAAACAACAAAAAATTATAAAATCTGAACACTGAAAAATCTAAAAAATGAAAAAGTAAAGAAAATAAAAAACCGAAACGGGAAACTGCAAATCGAAAATTTGAGGAAATGAAACATTAAAGAATCGAAAAATTGAAAAACGAAAAATTGAAAACTTGACAAACTCATATCGAAATATTGCAAAATCTAAAAATTAAAGAAACGAAGAACTGAAAAAATGAAATTGAAAATGAAAACGAAAAATTGCAAATCGAAAAATTGAAAAATTAAAGATTGAAAACTCGAGAAACTCAAATCGAAAGTTGAAAAACTGAAAAAACCGAAAAGAAGGAAAAATGAACAATTGAAAAAGTGTTATTATTAGAACACAAAAATCTTTTATAATTTTTCCAAGAAGCGGGAAAATTCATTGCAAATTCTAAACCATCGCTCTTCTCCTGATTAACCCGCTTTAAACCCTAAAACTTAACTTACAGGGAGAGCACTGGGACCATTAACAAACAGAACAACAAATGTAAAATTTCGTTAATGTAAGTAACATTAACGTCATGGGTCAAACTCCTAGTGTTTTCAGTTCAAACGAGTCCCAGTCCGACGCTAAAACCCGAATCCAGGTTTGAAACTTCTTTAAATAAAATCCCTCATTGTTGCATAATATAACCACAACTACGAATATTGCTAAAAATATAATAGTTTTTTTTTGTTACAGACCTGGCCCTACAGTTTCCAACGAAGTGAAGCCAACACAGATGTTAGTGGTGAAAGGGAGGCGCAAATGTGGGGCGATCTTTCCATCCAGCCTGTCGTCAGGGATAAAGACGTATCCTATTACTACTAATTTATACACCGAAAAATCCTCCTCGGCTACGATGAGGTGAAGGAAGAGAGATTAGAACTTTTAAATTATTGCACACGGCGACTGCCATTTAGTAAATTTATTAGGATAATTAACTATGTCAGTGTGAATTTGATACTTTTGTGGATGATGTGTTAATATTGAGATAAGTTATTACGACCATGGGCCTTGTTCCTGCTTCCCAGAACTGGACATTTCAGGGAAGTTAAATGATGTATTATTTTTGATGCAATATGTAACGAACGATATTTATTTAACGGTAGATTTAGCGCGTTATTTTTAGAGTAGATGCCTATATTTATATAAATTGCTCTGAATAAATAAAATTTATTACGAATAGGTATTTAGTATTTATTAATTTGAAAAATTACCTCACACAATTTTGCCATCGCTTCGTCCACATGTTGTTAACATTTATACCATTTCCGATTTTGCCTGAAATACGTTTTAATCCATTTCGGAGAAACCAGTGTGTCAAGATGTACGAAAAGTGAGTCAATTTTGTACCCACAACCAGTATAAAGTTAGATGCAATAAAAGGGTAATAAAACTTATAAAAAAAAAACACAGCTGTGTTATTTACGTACCTACAAACATTTGTAGTTAGTAAACACAAAGTTACGAACGCCACTTTGAATTTTTACACAATTATAATTCATGTGATGTAAAATTTCATGAGTTTTTGGCATTTCACAGTTCATAGAATTATAAAAGTATCCCCTTCAAAAAACCGAAGACGTCATTTCGAGATTTTTTTTAAGTAATTACGTAGGTACTAAATGAAATGGGTGACGTACATTTATTTTTACTGATGCTGGTTATTCAAAAAAATAAATAAAACTTTTCTGTTCTGTTTAGAATTTTAGCATGACAGTGATATTGATTTAGAGATGATAGATTTTATAAATAAATCTTACTGAAAAACACCTTCAGAAATGCGGAATTGCTGCGGTTAATATATTTATTACTTTTAAGATCTGTTTACGGAGATTAAAAAAATGTATGTTATTTTTTCTCTGACATTTTGAAAATAATAACGTGACAGTTAATAAGCATTCACGTTCGGTAGAAGTAACTGACAGAAACTTTTCTGTGGTTAAGTTGCAATCTTAAGATCACTAGAAATTTAAGATTGGCATCAACTGTCTAATTTTCTAATTCAAATGTCAAATCTGAATTGTGTGAAAAAAAAACCGAAGTTTTTCTAATTTCAACACGCTTCGTTTCAAGAAAATCCTTAAATACAGCATGGAAACAGTTTCCATAAAAGTAATCACGAGAAAGCTCATTTTAAAGGAAAAGAAACAAGAAATATTTCGTGGTTTTCAAAAAATTGGGTAAAACGGAAACAGTGGCAGAAATATTCTCCGTAAAGTTCGCTAGTGTTGTCGAGTGTTTTTCGAATTTTAAAATAATACAGATACAGCGGCGCTTGTGCCGTTAATATTATAATCAGAATCAGAAAGACGATTGCGCAGATTTATATACCTACATGCTTTGTTGGTTCCGTTCTACAATTGGTTTTTAAGTTTTATATAATCGTTATTGTTTTGTAAGAGGTAAAACACTCGGCTTTGAAAATAATTGTACGTAATACACGTATAAATTTAGGTTTCCGAAGGCGAAGTTTTTCACATTTTAAACACGTTATAGCTGCCAGAATCAAATTTCTAAGGCGGTACCTATCTCCAATTGCGTGATTGTGGTGAAGATTTACTTTTCATTTTCTTGGATGAGACATGGATATACCAGAACGGATCCATGGTGAAATTGTGGATCCATGATGATGACATCAAAGCTTGTCCTCCTAAAAAAACTAGTGAAGGGAAAAGATTCAAAATTTTACATGCGGGTTGCTCTTTGGGCTTTTAGAGGGATGCGATTTTCTCCTTGGTTCGAAAATAGATTCACCAGATTACCACAAAACCATCACATTTTCGATATTTGACCTTTACTTACTTACATGTCACATTTTTGATACCTACTTTCTGACATTCCAGTAATACATTATACACTAGAACAATTATGTCCGCAGTTACACAGCTTAAAAAAAAAAGTTACCAAATCTAGTTACATCTACCGAACGTGAATTCCTTATAGCTTCTAAACGAAAAAAATTCGTCTAACCACTGAAAATTAATGTTGAAAAATTATGTTGGTATCACCAAATCATTCCTTGTTCGGTTTGATAGTCAAATAATTAACTGTCAAACTGTCAAATAACTAACAATGTCAAGTATATACATTATATTAAAAATAAAGTCCATGGCCTACAAGGCAACTTTTTTCGGTCATATATTTCGTATCATCAAAAAGTTGATGACCTGATCTCAACAATAACTTACCCAGAAACTATAAAATACGTACTTAATACCCATTAATCCAACATTTTTACAAACACTTCAGAACCTTTTTCGTTTTTACCTCCTGAGCGTAAGCTAAAAGGTACCTAAATCGTTATTTAAAATTTTCTTATTTATGCTCCCCAAAAACTGATGACATGTTTTTACAATTTTGCTGAATAAATCTTCCCTATTATACATATATAGAATTACATACTCCTGCATGTGTGATTTATGAAATCCTGTCGAGTTTTTACCCTTGACATCCAGATTTTTGGCAAAAAATTCAAAATTGTATGTCACAATTTAACTTTGAAAATGCAAAACCGAATGCTCTGAAAACTTGCAAACGTTTTAGGGTTACCGGAAATATGATATATCGATAATCAAAATTTAAACGCACTTCTTTACATTATAATAATGATAAAACAAGAATTATAATGTTCATAACATTTTGTTCGATTGTGGTTTAATTAATAATTTTAGTCCTCTGTATGGAGAAGACAAACTCGTTCAAATCACGAGAGAAATATGTATTTTGCTATTAGGCTCCGCTCCTCGGTCTAACAACGAATGAAAAATTCATCACAATTAAGATCGGGGCGGGTGGGTGGGGCTTAAACTTAGTTTTCTTTTTTTTATACGTAGAATTTTCTTTCTACAACAGGATAGTTATACATGTTTTCAGATTCTTATTGGGAAAAGAAGACTTCGTATATTAAAAAAAAATTAACAAAATGTAAGCCCCGCCCACCCACCCCTTCTCAATTGTAATGAATATTTTATTCATCGTGAGCTGAAGGGCGGAGTTTAGTTGCAAAATTCTCATTTCTCTATAAGAAGTTACCATATGAAATATGTTTTTAAAAGGGTAGAATTTTTTTGAGAAACATTGATGTTACAATTAAACTCCACCCTTCGGTCTGATGAGGAATGAAAAACTCATCGCAATTGAGATCGAGGCGGGTTGATGGGGCTTAATTTTGGTTTTTTGTTTTTTTTTTAATACATAGAGTTTTCTTTCAACAACAGGATAGTTAAACATATTGTCAGTTTCTTGTTGGGAAAAGAAGACTTCGTATATTAAGAAAAAATGGACAAAATATAAGCCCCACCCACCCGCCCCTTCTCAATTGTAATGAATATTTCATTCATCGTGAGCTGAAGGGCGGAGTTTAATTGCAAAATCCGCATTTCTATACAAAAAATTACCACATTACAATTAAACTGCGCCCCTCGTCTGATTAGGAATGAAAAACTCATTACAATTGAGATAGCGGCGGGTGAGGATTAATCTTTGTTTTTTTTTTCTTTATATGCATAGTTTTCTTTCAACAAATTTTTGCCTGAAAGAACAAGAGATATAATAAAAAACACGAAGTCAATCTATTATTCAAGAATTTTGGACTGTACTCCTAACACAGAAACAAGAAATGAAAAACTGAAAAATCTAAAACTTGAAAAATTAAAAATTGAAAACTCGTGAAATTTCAAATCGAAAAACTGCAAAATCTAAAAATTGAAACGTCCAAAAGTTGGAAAATCGGAAAACTGGAAAATTTAAAAATGAAAACTCGTAGAGATATCGTAAAATTAATGAAAAAAAGCGAAAAATTGAAAAATTGCAAATTGAAAAACTGACGAAACGAAAAATTGAAAAAAGTGAAATCGAAAAAGCAAAAAATTATAAAATCGAAACATTAAAAAGTTGAAAAATTGAAAAATTGAATTTAAACTTCACAATTCGAAAAAATGATGGAAAAAAAAATGAAAAATTGAAGAAAAAATTCAAGTCAAACAAGCTGCGGGAATGTTATTTATGCCACTGCTTTTTACTTGCTAAGCTAGGACTGAACAATATTAATAGTCACTGGAACAAAGAAGGGGTGGGTGGGCGGGGCTACTGTTTGCCTTCAAAACTAGAAAAAGCTAAATTTAGCCCCGCCCACCTCCTTTCTCCATTTCACTGACTTATTTTATTTAGTGCAAAATGGAAATTGAAAAATAACAGTATTGTATTCCCAAAATTTTCTGGGACAGTGGAGCGAGCCGTTCCCGATTTAATCAATAAAATAAATTTACACATTCATGAATTTTTTGAGCCACCTGTTTAAGCAAATCTAAAAAATATTGATGCAATCATAAATCACAAGTAAAAACTCATCATATTTTTGCACATTTTGAGATGACGTCATCAAATTTTTGGGGGGAATAAATGAAGCCTCTAGTGTCTTTTCTTATAATAATTCTATTAAATTTCTTGAAGGATACGATACCAGGTACTAGCCCCGCCCACCCTCCCTCTCTTTTTTTAGAGCAGGGTTCCCACCGATTTTCTTATTTAGAATTCCCCGACTTTTCCAGGTTTTCTCTGACCAAAACCACAATATTCCATAATTTAATTTTTATAGGTATGCAACTTGAAAACTTGGAATAACAATATTTTCCAAATTTCTAAATTCCCTGACATTTCCAGATTTTCCAGAAAAGTGGCAACCCTGTAGAGGGTACGTCATTTGCCAAAATCAGTCTTATTTTAGCAGCTGCTAGCCCCGCCCACCCACCCTCTCTTTTCTTGGCCAAAATCAGTTGTATCTTAGCAAATATTGATGACTAACTTTTACAAAAAACGATCAAAATTTGGAAATATTACGAGCTTACTTTTATCTTATCTTATCTTATCAGAAAATAAAAAACGCAAAAAAATGATAATTTTTCAGAAAAGTGGGATTTATTTGGCTGCACTTCAGGGGCGAGAGAAGTTCTGTTGAAATAACCTTCGACCAATTTTTTAGATTATGTGTCTTTTTTTACAGAAAGTGAACTCTTCTCGGGGGTCCCAACTGTCTTTTTTTACCAAAGGTGAAACCTTCTCGGGGGCCCCAACCGTCTTTTTTAAGAATGTGAAACCTTCTCGAGGGCCCCAACTGTCCTTTTTTTAAGAGTGTGAAATCTTCTCGTGGGTCCCAACTGTATTTTTTGTTAAGAAGGTGAAACCTTCTCGGGGGCCCCATCCGTTTTTTTTTTACAGAAGGTGAAACCTTCTCGAAGGTCCAACTAACTTTTTTTTTAGAGAAGGGGAAACCTTCTGGGGAGACCCAACTGGTTTTTTTTTAGAATGTGTAACTTTCTTTGGGCCCCAACTGTTTTTTTTTTTTAAGAAAGTGAAACCTTCTCGAGATACCTAGATTTTTGTTTTTAAAGAATGTGAAACCTTCTCGGGTGCCCTAACAGTCGTTTTTTTAGAAGGTGAAACCTTCTCGGGGGCCCTAAGTGCCGTTTTTTATGAAAGTGAAACCTTCTCGGAGGCTCCAGCTGTCTTTTTTTTTTAAGAATGTGAAACCTTCTTGGGACCCAACTGTATTTTTTTAGAAAATGAAACCTCGGGGCAGCAACGTTTCTGTTTAAGAATGTGAAATCTTCTCGAGGGCCCTAACTGTCCTTTTTTTAAGAATGTGAAATCATCTCGTGGGTCCCAACTGTCTTTTTTTAAGAATGTGAAACCTTCTTGGGACCCAACTGTTTTTTTTTTAGAAAATGAAATCTCGGGGCAGCAACGCTTCTGTTTAAGAATGTGAAATCTTTTCGTGGGTCCCTAGATTTTTGTTTTTAAAGAATGTGAAACGTTCTCGGGTGCCTTAACAGTCTTTTTTTTAGAAGGTGAAATCTTCTCGGGGGCCCTAAGTGCCGTTTTTTAAGAAAGTGAAACCTTCTCGGGGGCTTCAGCTGTCTTTTTTTAAGAATGTGAAACCTTCTTGGAACTCAACTGTTTTTTTTTTTAGAAAATGAAACCTCGGGGCAGCAACGTTTCTGTTTAAGAATGTGAAATCTTCTCGGGGGCCCTAACTGTCCTTTTTTTAAAAATGTAAAATCCTCTCGTGGGTCCCAACTGTTTTTTTTTTAAGAATGTGAAACCTTCTTGGGACCCAACTGGTTTTTTTTTAGAAAATGAAATCTCAGGGCAGCAACGTTTCCGTTTAAGAATGTGAAATCTTCTCGTGGGTCCTTAGATTTTTGTTTTTAAAGAATGTGAAACCTTCTAGGGTGCCCTAACAATCTTTTTTTAAGAAAGTGAAACCTTCTTGGGACCCAACTGTTTTTTTTTTTAGAAAATGAAATCTCGGGGCAGCAACGTTTCTGTTTAAGAATGTGAAATCTTCTCGTGGGTCCCTAGATTTTTGTTTTTAAAGAATGTGAAACCTTCTCGGGTGCCTTAACAATCTTTTTTTTTAGAAGGTGAAATCTTCTCGGGGGCCCCAACCGTTTTTTTTTAAGAATGTGAAACCTTCTTGGGACCCAACTGTTTTTTTTTTTAGAAAATGAAATCTCAGGGCAGCAACGTTTCCGTTTAAGAATGTAAAATCTTCTCGTGGGTCCTTAGATCTTTGTTTTTAAAGAATGTGAAACCTTCTCGGGTGCCCTAACAATCTTTTTTTAAGAAAGTGAAACCTTCTTGGGACCCAACTGTTTTTTTTTTAGAAAATGAAATCTCGGGGCAGCAACGTTTCTGTTTAAGAATGTGAAATCTTCTCGAGGGCCCTAACTGTCCTTTTTTTAAGAATGTGAAATCATCTCGTGGATCCCAACTGTCTTTTTTTAAGAATGTGAAACCTTCTTGGGACCCAAATGTTTTTTTTTTTAGAAAATGAAATCTCGGGGCAGCAACGTTTCTGTTTAAGAATGTGAAATCTTCTCGTGGGTCCCTTGATTTTTGTTTTTAAAGAATGTGAAACCTTCTCGGGTGTCCTAACAATCTTTTTTTTAGAAGGTGAAATCTTCTCGGGGGCCCTAAGTGCCGTTTTTTAAGAAAGTGAAACCTTCTCGGGGGCTTCAGCTGTCTTTTTTTAAGAATGTGAAACCTTCTTGGGACCCAACTGTTTTTTTTTTTTAGAAAATGGAACCTCGGGGTAGCAACGTTTCGGTTTAAGAATGTGAAATCTTCTCGTGGGTCCCAACTGTCTTTTTTTTAAGAAGGTGAAACCTTCTCGGAGGCTCCAACCGTTTTTTTTTTTCACTAAAAATGAAACCTGCTCGGAGGCCCAACTAACTTTTTTTTAGAGAAGGGGAAACCTTCTCGGGAGACCTAACTGTTTTTTTTTAGAATCTGAAATCTTCTTGGGGCCCCAACTGTTTTTTTTAAGAAAGTGAAACCTTCTCGGGGCACCTAGATTTTTGTTTTTAAAGAATGTGAAACCTTCTCGGGTGCCCTAACAGTCTTTTTTTTAAGAATATGAAACCTTCTTGGGACCCAACTCTTTTTTTTAGAAAATGAAATCCCGGGGCACCAACGTTTCTGTTTAAGAATGTGAAACCTTCTCGGGCGCCCCAACAATCCTTTTTTTAAGAAGGTGAAACCTTCTCGGGGTCCCAACTGTATTTTTTTTAAAGAATAGGAAATCTTCTCGAGGCCCCAACTGTACTTTTTTTAAGAAGGCGAAACCTTCTCGAGGCCCCAACTAACTTTTTTTTAGAGAAGAGGAAACCTGTTTTTTTTTCTTAGGACCCCACCGGTTTTGTTGTAAGAAAGTGAAACCTTCTCGATGCACCTAGATTTTTTTTAAAGAATGTTAAACCTTCTCGGGTGCCCCAACAGTCTTTTTTTAAGAAGGTGAAACCTTCTCGGGGGTCCCAACTGTTTTTTTTAAGAATGTGAAACCTTTTCGGGGATTCCTACTGTCTTTTTACTTAACAAGGTGAAATCTTCTCGGGGGCTCCAACTGTTTTTTTTTTAAGAAAGTTGAACCTTCTCGGGGGTCCCAAATATATATTTTTTTTTAATGTGAAACCTTCTCGAGGTTCCAACTAACTTTTTTTTAGAGAAGGTGAAACCACAGGGTGAAACCTTCTCGGAAGACCCAATTGGCTTTTTTAAGAATGTAAAACCTTTTCGGGGACTCCAACTGTATTTTGTTTTTAAATGTGAAACCCTCTTGAGGCCCCAACTGATTTTTTTAAGAAAGTGAAACCTTCTAGGATGCCCCAACTCACTTTTTTTAGAGAAGGTAAAACCTTCTCGGGGCTTCCAACTGGTTTTTTTAAAAATGTGAAACCTTCCTTTTAAGAAGGTGAAATCTTCTCAGGAGCTCCAACTGTCTTTTTTACAGAAGGTGAAACCTTCTCGGAGGCTCCAACTGTATTTTTTTAAGAAGGTTAAATCTTCTCGGGGGTCCCAACTGTCTTTTTGTAAAGAATGTGAAATCTCGAGGCTCCAACTATTTTTTTTTAAGGTGAAACCTTCTCGAGGGTCCCACTGTGTTTTTTTTTTAGAGAAGGTGAAACTTCTCGGGGGGCGCCAACTGGTTTTTTTTAAGAATATGAAATCTGTTTTTTTTTCTTCCACTGTGACTAGTAGGTACATACTTTCTATGTTATTTTTACTCCATAGAAGTGTTACCACAAAAAAGTGAAATTTCGCAAAATCAATTTAAAAATTTTTCAAACATGCAGGATTTGTTGAACTGTAAGTACTCCAGGGGCGAGGGAAATTCTGTCTAATACCTCTGATCAAATTGTTTATTATTATTCCGAGATTTCGGAAACAAAATGTAGAAAAATAAAACACAAATATGAACGATTTTAAACTGTTATGTTGGTTAAAACTGTACAGACACATACATATCCACTACTATAAATATAACATGGCTGCCCGCTTATACTTGATACGATATACAATATCTACAATATCTATCCAATCAACAAAAAATCTAAAAATATCAATTTATACAAATTTACTACAATAAATTACTCTAAATTCATCTCCATACAATCAATCTCTAAATATTAGACCAAAAAAAAATGCATTGCATTACATCGTTGCATTCGCAATCTTTAAAAAAATATAAGACGTCTTCCAACTTGCAAACTCCTAGTTCTCAGTCATCAATCCATCCAGAATAAAAGTTTAGGTCCACCTTTAATACCCTAATCAGTAACAATCCTACCGGCAGCCCAAAATAGACATCAGCCGACATCTAACATTAATAAAAAACTCGGCTCTGATTGCTCATCGCAATGACGTTGCAAAATCTATTCCAAAGACCAAATCAGTGATTGATTGGACTGATGACCCGGAACGTCTGTAAAACTTCCCCACATAGCGACACTTCAGCCCTCCTTCGCCTTTTTCGCTGGGGGCTCGTCCGCAGAAGTCTTCCCTTTGGATGCAACGTCTGGCTGGGTCTTTGCATACGCTGGCGTAATCCAGTACGGATTTTCCGCTGCCTCCTTGGCATATTTTAAAATAGCTTCCCTTGGGTCCTGGTCATCATCCACCCTCTTACTCAACCCGAGATTCCTGATAACGTAGCTGCTCAAAGTACCCCCACTAGAGGCAACTCTGCCGCCCTGACCAGACGTAATGGGCAAATCGGGCCTTCGAGACTTCACAGGATCCAGACGATCCTTCTCCATTTGTTTCCTACTGGTTTTACGTCTTTCTTGTCTGAATAGGGGTAACGCGTGTGGTGTTATCACTTGTTGGGTACTCACAATCTCGGAATGTTGAGCTTTTCTGTGTACTTTGGCAGCACAGAGAGTAGCACCGCGCAGACTCCACTTCTGGTCGTAGAGACACTTAACTATGCCGTTTCCTGTGCCGACGAAGATTTGGTTGAGTTTGGGATGCCAGAGGAGCTTAATTGTGTGTGAGTTGGTGATTTGGATTTTTTGAATTAGAGATAAGTTTGTTGAGTCGTAGAAGAAGATGTAACCGTCTGTGTCGTTCTTGCGCAGTGACATTCCAGTCGCTATAATGGCGTCGTTTGGACTAAAAATGGCGTCGGTGGTGTCGTACCGAGTGAACAAATCTGTAACCTGATGGATACAGGTTTTAAAGTTTCTTAAATCCCACAATTTCAAAGTTTCATCGCAACTTCTAGTAACCAGATTGTTACCAACGTGAGAATACCTAATGCTGGTGATTTCTCCCGGTAGATGTCCTTTCCGTACCTGACTAGCCGGAGCCACCGAGCTTTTTCTCGAATCCCACAACTGCAGCGACCCATCAGCACACCCACAAGCTATAACTTTCCCATCACGCCCATACGTCACCGCCGTCGGTGACACCTTCAACCCATTCTGCGCCCGACACTTGACAATACTCTTATGATTCTTCCCCCCTTCGTAAAAGTCCCACGTCCTAATCGTCCCATCGGCACTCGTCGTCAAAAACTCCTCCTTCACGAGCGGGTTCCAACACCCAGCCAACAACCCAGCCGTGTGTCCCTTGGTCTTCGCTTGATCCGTTATGTACATATCCCCTTTCACCGTCTCCAACTTCTCAAACCCATCCCGATCTAACACCTTCGCCTGACTAGCTCCAGAAATCACCAACAACAAGTCCCCAGTCCCGGAATAATTCAGCGATCTGATTGGGTGATTGTCCGCCGGTTGCAGCGTCCGGAAACTGCGCATGCTCGAGTCCATGCCGGCGAAGTCCCAGAAGCTCACCTCGTAGTCGACCGAACCCGACGCCAGCCGAGCCCCGCTCGGGTCCACGCTAATCGCGGTCACGGCCTTGTTGCCGTGGGTCATGGTTGCTTCGTTGGAGCACGGGATGAAGTGGACGTCGGGCTCTTCGTCTTCTGATTCGCTGTCGCTGTCTTCGGGATTCCTCGGTTGGGTTTCGTCGGGGGTTGATTGGAAGAGGTCCGTCGGGATTGGCGGGCCGATGAGGTCGTCGTCGTCCTCGTCTTCATCCTCGGGGGGCTCGGGCAGGGGCGGGTCGGAGGTTTTGGTGAGCTCGCGGGCGGTGGCTTTGACCTGGGCCATCATTTCCTGGTGCAATAATAATTATTAAATTATGAAAAGGGTGCCCAAATGCAGTGGGGGTTTAAGTGGTTACTGTTTATTTTACAGAATTGACCATTATCTGTTCAAAAATTAAAAGACCACTCAACCGGCAACAGTATGAAATTTCAACCGACAACATTGTCTAGGGAGATTTTTAGTGCCAAGATGTACTATCAAAAAAATTGAGGTTAGGATGATTATGGTTTTAAATTAAAAGCAATCCGCACTCTACGTATTTTTAGGTCTGTGATTGGTCTACTTCTTAGCAAAGTTGCCAGACTGCCGATTTTGGGATACTTTTACCGAAAAGTATTTTTTTAAAGAAGGTGAACCCTTCGCAGGGGTGGCAGCTGTTTCTTGACCTTTCATGACCCCTAGAGTATGAAGAAATAGGTCTCCCGTTTCCGTCCGTCTGTCTGTCTGTCTGCCCTCCCGGATTTTTATTAGACAGATAATAATCTCCGAAAGTACTGGGTGAATTGTTGTTAAATTTTATTTATATTATGAATATCATGTACATGGTAAAACGCCAATCAAACTTTGTCTAATCATCCCCATCAACAATGTGATGACGTCACTTCAAAATTGTACATAGAAAATGCGTTCTAAATTGTAACTATAAGATAGCATATAAAACAATATTATAAGTATATATATGATAAGCATGATAAATTTTTAATCAAAGTATATTTACTTATCCCCACCAAGAAATTGATGACGTCACCTCAAAATTTTGCCAAATAAATCCTATCTGAAATGTGCAAAATATGAAATACTTGTAATATATCACTGCAATAATATTTTTTAGATTTGCTTATACAGGGTGATTCAAAAAAATTAATGGATCAGTTAATTTATTTTATAGAATAAATCAAGAATTGCAAAACCGAATACTCTGAAATCTTGCAGACGTTTTAAGATTATTGTAAGCATGGTAAATTGTTAATCAAAGTATATATACCTGTTTATTCCCCACAGTACTTGCTAAGATAAGAATGACTTTTCCAAATAGCATACTCTCAAAGAAAATAAAGGGTGAGTGGGCGGGGCTAGTATTTGCCAAGATAAGACTGATTCTGCTAAAAGTACCCTCTAAAAAACACACAGCCTACGTTCTATTAGTTACCATTTTCACTCAACATAATAATATATATTTAGCCCCGCCCACCCACCCAGCCTCCATTTCGGTGATTAATTTAATCTATTTTTATTGAAAGGTGTTTCTTATAATCAACAGATATACAATCCTTTGCTGAGAATAGCACGGGTGGGCGGGGTTAGTCCTTGCTAAGATAAGACTAATTTTGCCAAATCGCATACTCTCTAAGGAAATAAAGGGTGTGTGGGCGGGGCTAGTATTTGGCAAGATAAGACTGATTCTGCAAAATATACCCTCTAAAAAACACACAGCCTACGTTCTATTAGTTCTCACTTTCACTCAACACAAGAATGTATATTTAGCCCCGCCCACCCACCCAGCCTCCATTTCAGTGATTGATTTTCTTTATTTTGATTGAAAGGTGTTTCTTATAATCAACAGATATACAATCCTTTGACTGAGAATAGCACGGGTGGGCGGGGTTAGTACTTGCTAAAATAAGACTGATTTCAGTAAAAGACATATTCTTTAAGAAAACAAAAGGCGGGTGGGCGGGGTTAATATTTGCTAAGATAAGACTGATTCTGCCAAATATACCCTATAAAAAACACACAACCTACGTTCTATTAGTTCCCATTTTCACTCAACACAAGAATATATATTTAGCCCCGCCCACCCACCCAGCCTCCATTTCGGTGATTGATTTTCTCTATTTTGATTGAAAGGTGTTTCTTATAATCAACAGATTATATCCTTTGAGAATTGCATGGGTGGACGGGTTTAGTAGTTGATAAGATAAGACTAATTTTGCCAAATAGCATACTCTCTAAGAAAATAAAGAGTGGGTGGGCGGGGCTAATATTTGCTAAGATAAGACTGATTCTGCCAAATATACCCTCTAAAAAACACACAGCCTATGTTCTATTAGTTCTCATTTTCACTCAACACTATAATATATATTTAGCCCCGCCCACCCACCCAGCCTCCAGTTCGGTGATTAATTTAATCTATTTTGATTGAAAGGTGTTTCTTATAATCAACAGATATACAATCCTTTGACTGAGAATAGCACGGGTGGGCGGGGTTAGTCCTTGCTAAGATAAAACTAATTTTTCCAAATCGCATACTCTCTAAGAAAATAAAGGGTGGGTGGGCGGGGCTAGTATTTGCCAAGATAAAATTGATTCTGCAAAATATACCCTCTAAAAAACACACAGCCTTACGTTCTATTAGTTCCCATTTTCACTCAACACAAGAATATATATTTATCCCCGCCCACCCACCCAACCTCCATTTCGGTGATTGATTTGATCTATTTTGATTGAAAGGTGTTTCTTATAATCAACAGATATACAATCCTTTGACTGAGAATAGCACAGGTGGGCGGGGTTAGTCCTTGCTAAGATAAGACTAATTTTGGTAAAAGACATACTCTCTAAGAAAATAAAGGGCGGGTGGGCGGGGCTAATATTTGCTAAAATAAGATTGATTTTTCTAAATGTTTTTTTTTTCTAAAGGTTTGTCGTTGTTGATGCACAATTTAAAAACCATGCTGATGCTCTGATATAGAATTTTTCACTATAGGATGGATATATGAATGTAGAATTAATTCGAAAATTTTAGAAAAATTGGAAAGGCGGAAAACCGCTCTGTAATTTTCAACTTTAGATTTATTAAATATTAATAGACCCTTTGTTGTGGTGTCAATTAAATCAACTTTTAATATACTGGGTGTCTATAAAAAATGTAAACTTTTCAATTTTCAAATATCGATATTTCAGTTTTTTCAAACAGGACAACCTGTGTTTTATTACTGTGTCTTACTCTACTTTTCTGTTCTTATTCATGTCGATGTGTCTTAAAAAGTAAAAAACTGCAGTGAGAAACTATCAATTTTAAATATAGAAAATACTTAACAAAAAAGAAAGGGCACAAAAAATAGATTAAATTCCAGGGGGTTCTATAGAAAATTGGAATAACGTGGCAACATCGCATGGGAATCTCAAAAATAAACTGTTATTGTAAGCTTTAGGAGAGGTCATTCAAAATATGTAAAAATTTATAGGGTGACTAGTTAAAAATAATTTTAGAGTGTAGTCCTCAAGCAACCGTACAATTTTAGTATATGACTCATTTAGTGACTCACCTTGTATATTAAATTTTTCCGTAATAACCCATAAATAAGATTTTTTTATATTACTTACGCAAGTCGAAGTTAATTTAAATCTATCCGAGAAAAATATTTTTTTTTATAATTTCTACAATAATAATTAATTTAATTTTACATAGATAACTATTTAATAGAAACTAGGATTTCACTTCTTTCAATAAAATTTTATTTTTTACTAATTTTTTTGTTTTTTGAAAAAATCGTACAAAGCAGACACAATGAGGCACAAATGTAAACGCCGTCTCACTTCTTAGGGCCAATGAAATTATTTATTAAGGTGGAGCTTATGCCAATGGGAGGAGCATCGGCAATATTGCTTTTTGAATATGATTGTCACGTCTGCTATGCTTATTTAACACCAACTTAATACTTTCTAGACGCCTTGTTGAACAATTTATCTATTGTCTCACCAACGATTTAACAGAATGAAGAGAGGGTGGGTGGGCGGGGCTATTGTTTGCTCATAGGATTGTAGAAAAATGCCAAACTTAACTCCGCCCACCTCCTTTCTCCATTTCATTGTCTCATTTTATTTAACGTAAAACAAAGTCAAAATTGCCAAATTGCCGATTTTGGGACAGATTTACCGAAAAGTGCCAAATTAAATATTAATCCACTGAAATTCCATTTGAAGCATCTGGCAACACCGCATCCCGTGACTTTTATTTTGTGTCAACATACGTTGGCGGTCTTTTAATTTCTGAACAAATACTATTTTGATTATTTTCGATAACTTCTTGCGTGAATTACAAAAACATTAGCCACTGTCTGGTCCATTTTTAGTTGCTAAGTGACTATTTATATATTTATAGGGTGGAAAAAAACGCGATTTTAGTAACCGCTGTTCTCACACTTTATTTAAATAATCACGTCTTACCTGAATGTCGAAACTCTTGGCTTTTTTCCCGAAGGACGTTATCCCCATAACTTCCTTAATGTGTTCTTGTTCTTTGCTGTCATCCTCAAGAAGTTCCATCGCCTTCGGTGGTCCAAAAGTCCCAATGGTACCACTAGGCTCAATTTTTTCGGCATTTTGACCAAAATTGGCACTGATCTTTCCAAAACTGATCTTCCCTTTGTTCATTTTGCTCGTAATTTTTATTCTGACTTGAAACGCACTCCGTTACTAATCTTAGGTTATGTTTTCTTTTGAACTGTCACCGAGTCAACGCCGAACATCGATCGAACGGATATTTATGTAAATGAAAGTGGAAAGAAAAAAAAATAAAACATGAATACGAATTAATACTTTCATTAACAGTAGTGATTAACTAACCTCTACAAATAACCATCATCGGAAACATCATAAACGACACAAATTTCTAAATATAAACAAATTAACTGAACACACTGATCAACTTTGCATATAAATCCGTATAAACTGTGTTACCGTCTGCGTCTGTCAAACTGTCAAATTTTCGCCCCAGCGTATAGGTTATGTACATATGTTGTTATTTTAATTCAAACTTGTAAATATACAAAAAATGTCCACATCCCTCGACATAAGACTGAAACGCGCCGACAAAGTATACCGAGAAGAAGTAAGCCCCTTTTTCCACAAAACCCCATTCTAAACCCCCCATTCCAGGAAAATATCACGGGAGTCATAGCAATAACCACAGCGTCTGATCTCAAGCACGACGGAATCACCCTCACAGTCGAAGGATGCGTCAACCTTCAACTAAGCTCAAAAAACGTAGGCATCATCGATGCCTTCTACAACTCAGTTAAAGTACTCAGCCCCACGCCCCAAAACCCTAATACACAAACTCTTTCCAGCCAATACAACTCATCGGAGTCACGTGCGAAGTGAGCGGCTCCAGTCGTCTTCCAGCCGGAACCACAGAAATCCCCTTCGAAGTACCCCTCAAGCCGAGAGCCAATCGAGTCCTGTACGAAACCTACCACGGCGTGTACATTAACATTAGTTACGCTATTCGCTGCGACGTCAAACGTTCATTCCTCTCAAAAGACTTGCAAAAAAGCCAGCAGTTTTTAGTGCAATATTGGCCAGGTCGCAACCCTGGGCCACCCCCGCATATAAAAGACACCAACAGAAGTGTACCTTTTAAGTTAAGTCCGACGACGTTAGCAGCAGGGGGCGCAGGTAGCCGTTTGATTTATACCAACAACGAGTAACTTTTGATTTAAAGGTGCTCCGGATTTTTTGTTAAGGGGGCAGTTGGATGGGATTTGCTGCAGCGTGAATAGGCCGTTCACGGGGCACGTGATTTTGGAGAGGTGTGCGGCCCCGGTTAGGTCCATTGAGTTGCAGTTGGTACGAGTGGAGACATGTGGCTGTGCGGAAGGATATGCGAGGGAAGCGACGGAGATACAGAATATTCAAATAGGCGACGGTGATATTCCTACAAATGTTGATATACCCATTTATATGGTGTTTCCAAGACTGTTTACGTGTCCAACTTTGATCACCACTAACTTCAAAATAGGTAGGTGGACAGGGGGCCAACGGTGCAAAAATGTACAAAATCCGCTAGTTTCTTTGTTTATCAAGTAAAAACTGAGTTTAGTGACAAATTGAGAAGTCTGTCATCTATTTATAAAGATTATGAAATTTTTTAGTTATCCAATAACTACTATACTATAAATTACGTCCCCTCCAAAAAAATGTATGACGTCACTTTAAAAAAAATGTTATCAAAATCAGTTGTTGAAAATCAAAAAATTTTCAAAATCGAAAAATTAAAAGATCCAGAAATTAAAAAATTTCCAAAATAAAAACGCTGAAAATTTGAGAAATCGAAAACTTGAAAAACCTAGAAATCGAAAAATTTAAATACATATTAAAATTGTTAAATCCAAAAATGGAAAAAAAATGAAAACGCAAAATTTAAAAAATTGAAAAACTAAAAAATTTTAAAAACTAGAAATCGAGACATGGAAAACATGAAGAATCGAAACATTGAAAAATCGAGAAATTGAAAAATCCCAAAACAAATGTGGAAAGTCGGAAAAGATTTGAAATCAAAACATCAAAAAATTGTAAAATCCAAAAATGGAAAAATCGAAAACGCAAAATTGAAAAATCCCAAAACAGAAACGTTGAAAATCGAGCAAATCGAGAAATTGAGAAGTCGAAAAATCGAAAAATTCAAATACATATTAACAAATTTTAACTCGGGCAATCGAATTAACAAATAATCGTAAAATCGAAAATGTTAAATTTTAAAAATCGAAAAAATAAAAAACAAGAAACTAGAAAACGAAAAATCTAAAATTCAAAAAATCGAAAAACTGAAAAAGTGAAGAATCGAAAAAGTGAAAATTCGAGAAAAATTGAACAGTTGAAAAGTTGAAAAATTGAAATGGCAAAAGATCGAGAAATGAAGAAATCAAAATTATCGAAAAAATCGAAACTTCGACACCTCGATAAATTGAAACAAAAAAACTCGAAAAATCGAAAAAACAGAAGAATTGAAAGATCGAAAAATAGAAATACTTTAAATCTTAAAAATTGAAAAATTTTTAAAAATTGAAAAAGTAAAAACTCAAAAAATCGAAAATGTAAAATTTGAAACATGGAAAAATTAAAAATCCAAAAACTAGAAGTAGAAAAATTTTAAACTCAAAAAACTAGAAATCGAAAAATCTAAAATTTAAAAAATCGAAAAACTGAAAAATTGAAGAATCGAAAAACTGAAAAATCGAGAAGTTGAAAAATCCCAAAACAGGAATGTTAAAAACGGAAAAATCGAAAAATTACATATTAACAAATTTTAACTCAGCCAATTGAATGAACAAAAAATCGTAAAATCAAATGTTAAATTTAAAAAATCGAAAAACTTATAAAGTGAAGAATCGAAAAAGTGAAAATTCGAGAAAAACTGAACAGTTGAAAAGTTGAAACATCGAGAAATCAAGAAGTCAAAAAATCGAAAAAATCAGAATTGAAAAAATTAAGCTTGGAAAGTTAAGAAAACCGATAAATCGAAACTTCGACACCTCGATAAATCGAGATAAAGATACAAAAAACAAGATTCGAAAAATTGAAAAAACAAGAATTGAAAAATCGAAAAATATAAATATTTAAAATCTAAAAATTTGCAAAATTAAAATATCGCAAAAATGAAGCAACGAAAAACTGAAAAATCGAAGATTTAAAAAGTTGATTTTTTTTTTTTAAATCGAAAAAGTAAAAAATCAAAAAACTGCAAAAGTGAAGAATCGAAAAACTGAAAGTTCGAGAAAAACTGAACAATTTAAAAAAGTGAAACATCGAAAAATGAAACAGCAAAAGATGGTGAAACTGAGAAGTCGAAAAACCGAAAAAAATCGAAATTGAAAAATTTTAAGTTAAGAAATTAAAAAAAAAAAACGATAAATCGAAACCTCGATAAATCGCGAAATCGAAAAAATGATAAATAAAATCCAAAAATTGGAAAAACAAGAATTAAAAATCGAAAAACAAATACTTAAAATATAAAAAAATTGAAAAATTAAAATATCGTAAAAATGAAGCAACGAAAAATTGAAAAATCTGTGATTTAAAAAATTAAAAATTTTTAAAACTCAAAAAGCAAAAAATTAAAAATTGAAAATCCAAAATTTAACACATCGAAAAATTAAAAATAAAAAAAACTACCAGAAATAGAAAAATTTTAAATTCAAAAAGTCGAAAAACTAAAAAATCAAAAAAGCTAGAAATTGAGAACTGGAAAACCTGAAGAATCCAAAAACTGAAAAATTGAGAAATACAAAAATCACAAAACAGGAATGTTGAAAATTTAAAAAATCAAAAAATTGAAACATCGAGAAATCGAAAAATTGAAATTCATATTAACAAATTTTAACTCGGGCAATCGAATTAAAAAAAAAAAGATGCATCGAAACTTCGGCATCTCGATAAATCGAGAAATCGAAACAAAAAAAAATCGAAAAATTGTAAAAACAGAAGAATTGAAAAATCGAAAAATAGAAATCCTTTAAATCTAAAAAATTGAAAAATTAAAATATCGCAAAAATGAAGCAATGAAAAATTGAAAAAATAATTAAAAATCGAAAAAATAAAAAATCAAATTGAGAAATCGAAACAACGAAAGATCGAGAAATTGAAAAGTCGGAAAATCGAAAAATTGAAAAATGAATATATCGAAAATTAAAAAATCCAGAAATTAAAAAAATCCCAAAATTAAACCGCTGAAAAATTGAGAAATTGAAAACTTCAAAAATCCAGAAATCGAAAAATTTTAAAAACCGAAATGTGGAGAAATCGAAAAATTTAAATAAATATTGAAAGATTTGAAATCGAAACACCAAAAAATTGTAAAATCCAAAAATAGAAAAATCTAAAACGCAAAATTAAAAAAATCGAAAAACTCAAAGATCAAAAAAAAATCTTAGAAATCGAGAAATAGGAAACCTGAAGAATCGGAAAACTAATGTGAGAAATCGAAAAATCCCAAAACGGGAATATTAAAAATCGGAAAAATCGAAAAACTGAAAAAGTGAAAATTCCAGAAAAACTGAACAGTTGAAAAGTTGAAACATCGTGAAATTGAAATAGCAAAAGATCGAAAAATTAATAAGTCCAAAAATCGAAAAAATCAAAATTGAAAAATTTTAACTTAGAAAGTTAAAAAACCGATAAATCGAAATTTCGACACCTCGATAAATCGAGAAATTGAAACAAAAAAAAATCGAAAAATTGAAAAAACAGAAAATTTGAAAAATCGAAAAATAGAAATACTTTAAATCTAAAAAATTGAAGCAACGAAAAATTTAAAAATCTAGGATATAAAAAAATTTAAAAATTTTTAAAAATCGGAAAAGTAAAAAACAAAACATTTAAAAAATAAAAAAATTGAACAGTTGAAAAATTGAAACATCGAGATATTGAAACAGTAAAAGATCGAGAATTTGAGAACTCGAAAAATCAAACAAATCAAAATTGAAAAATTTAAATACATATTAAAAAACTTGATATCAAAACATTACAAAATTGTAAAATCCAAAAATTGAAAAATCGAAAACATTAAAAGTAAAAAATCGAAAAACTAAAAAATCAAAAAAAACTAGAAATCGAGAAATGGAAAAATTCCGAAACAGAAATGTTAAAAATTTGAAAAATCGAAAAATTGAAACATCGAGAAATCGGAAAATTGAAAAACTGAAATGTTTTAAAAAATTTTAATTCGTGTAGTCGAAACCACAAAAAATCGTAAAGTCGAAAAATGGAAAAATCGAAAATGTAAAATTTAAAAAATCAAAAAAACTAGAAATCGAAAAACTGAAAATTCGATAAAAATTGAACAATTGAAAAACTGAGAAGTCAGAAAATCGACATTGAAAAATTTAAACTTAAAAAATTAAAAAAAAAAGATAAATCGAAACCTCGAAAATCAAAAAAAAAAATTCGAAAAACAGAAAAATTGAAAATTCGAAAAATTGAAATATTGGGATATTGCAAAGTCGAAAAATAACAAAAATAAAAAATCGAAAGTTCCAATCTCAGTTTTAAACTGTTTTTGTTCCTTTTGGATCTTTTTTTTTATTCAAGAAATGTATTATTATTATTATTATTAAAAAAATCGGGGAATTGAAGAGGCAACAAATTGAGAATCGCGCAACTGAAAAACCGAAAAATCTAAAAGCGAAAAGTAGAAGAATCGAAAGACTGAAACAAGTGAAAAATCTAAAATTTAAGAATTGGAAATATTAAAAAAATTCGAAAAACCCGTAAGTCGAAATATATATTTAAAATGTAAAAAACGGAACATTTTTTTTCTATTCGATTCGTATTTTCTTCTTTCCAATTTTTCGTTTCTTCAGTGCTTCGACTTGCAGTTTTTCGTTTTTCCGTGGTTTTGGGTTTTCAGTTTTTCGATTTTTCATTTTTTTTTAATTTTTTAGTTTTTCGCTTTTTCATCATTTCGAATAAAAAAATTGAAAAGTTGCAGAATTATAAGAATTGGTAAATCAAAAAAGGAAAAACGAAAAAGTATAAAGTAGAAACTTTAAAAAATCTACAAAATTGGAACTCAAGACCTTAAAAAAAAATTGAAAAATTGAAAGATTAAAGAATCTTTAAAATCGAGAAAATGAAGAATCGAGAAATAAAAACATCAAAAAATCGAAATACTGAAAAACTGAAAAATCGAAATTGAATAATTAAAACATCGAGGAATCGAAACACCAAAAGATCGAGAAATCGAGAAGTCGAGAAACGAAAAATTGAAAAATTTACATTTAAAAGAACCGAAAAACTGAAAAATCGAAAAATTTAAAACCGAAAAATCAAAATTTTATAATTTGAAAAATCCAAATGCGAGAAATCGAAACATGAAAAAAGTAGAAAATTGAAAAATCTAAAATTTTAAAAATCCCAAACTGCAGCTTGAAACCCGCAGTACGGAAATAATTTTGAAAAGGCTCTAAAACATTACACAATTTTGAACTGTTGGCTCACCCCTTATTTTCAACATTATTACCTTACCCTTTTTTGCAGAGTTCGAGGTAAACCTGGTGATCGTATTCCATGATGACCACTTGGTCACAAATAACTTTCCATTGATATTAGTACGAGAATAGCATATAAAAATGATTTATTTATAAGTTTATACATAAAGAAAAGCATACATAGAAATTACGATTCGGCGACGGCGAGTGCTAGACTTGAAACTATAGGATCTAATTGTTTTTGTATTGCCAGAATGTGTCCTGTGTTGCAAGAATCACTAGCAATAAATGTAACGATAAGTGGGAGTTTGTTCATTTGGATAACTTGATATTGCGAGTACACACATATCAGAGTTCCCGTCTTCCCGAGTCCAAGTTTGCTCCCTTGATCCACAGCCAGTCCAAACGTTGAGATGAAATTAGGCCTCATTGCGTGTTCGGGGGCTTTGTCTGTGCTAACTTTGAGTAGATGGACGCCATCACGGTCTGTAATGATCACGCTGTACAAACCGGGCACTTTTGAGAGAAGATCCTGAAGGTTGTTTTTCACCTCTTCAACCATTGTCTTCGCGAAATTGGAAAAACGAAAACCGAATCTCAAACATAAACACCTGATTTGGGGAGTTTTTGACGGTTGACAGCATTGACAGCGACATATGTCATTCACTGATTATGAAAAAAATAGAGTGTCAATAAACCTTCGATTTAGTTTTTTAGTGTTACTACGTCACAATAGAAGTGTATTTTCATTAAGAACAATCGTTTGTGGTCTAAATTCACCTTAATCACCCCAAGTTTATAAATAATGCAGTTAAAAAAGTCCAGGTGGTTGACCGGGCTCTAGGTACTTTATGTCATTGTTTGGTTTTCTCCAGCCGGTCCTCGTACCGGAGCACAATTTGCTAATTAATTCAAGCACAACTAAAGTAAATTTGTTGGAGTGATTTTCGTCCCGAGAATTGTGTGCACATCGAGAACAGGTAAGAAAAAATTGGTTATTTTAGCGTAATTTGAAAATTATAACCACGAAATGCAGTTCGTAGTTGGCCTTGCGGAGTGACAAGACTGCCCGCCGCCGCCTTGGATATTTCAGTTTCGTTTACACGTCTTCAGGTGACCATGTAAGACTTTCTTCGAAGTGACCCCCCAGCCCCCTTTCGAAGATACAAAATTTCTACAAAAGTTATGTATGAGGTGACCTACTATCAAAGGAGGCACACAATTTCGGCTCTTGTCAAAATCAGACAGTGACACTACCACTGAACGAGTCCACGAGTCAGTCCACCTTGAACACAATGGAGATGATGAACACTGACGATGACAGTTTATGCGAAGACTCAGGTAACGAAACCAGCGGCGACGACGTCGACTTTAACGTCGAAGTGGAGACCTCCGTCCCCAAAGAGTCCCAATCGTACGATGACGAGTACCAGTATGAAGTACTCTCAACCAGCGATATAGTTCAGTACATGTCAGATATTATAGATGAAGTGAACAGCGTGCTGCAGCTGCCGCCCACAACCGCGCGCATTTTGCTGAACTACTTCCACTGGGACAAAGAGAAGCTGATGGAGCGGTTCTTCGATGGAGACCAAGACGAGCTGTTTAAGGAGGCCAACGTTATAAATCCGTTCAAGAAAATACCCGTGACGGGGAAACCAAAGTTGTCTCTGAAGATTAGAGGGACTGAAGAATGTGATATTTGTTTTATGGTTTTCGCCCCTTCGCACATGACGGGGCTGGAATGTGGCCACAGGTTCTGCTATCAGTGCTGGAATGAGTATCTCACGACGAAAATTGTCGAGGAAGGGGTGGGACAGACCATAGCGTGCGCCGCTCATAATTGCCCCATTTTGGTGGACGACGAAACTGTAATGAGGCTAGTCAAAGATACCAGGGTTAAAATTAAATATCAGCATTTGATTACTAATAGTTTCATCGAGTGCAATCGGCTGTTGAGGTGGTGTCCAAGTCCTGATTGCAACTACGCCGTCAAAGTAAGTTTACAGGGGTTGGTTTTGGTTTAAAAATGAACGAATGAAGTAAGAAAACTATGAGATTTACTTTATTTTTATTTTTTGAAATATCGTTTTTATTTCCCAATAATTTAGTCCATCAAGCAAGTGGGTTCTTTCATGTTTTCTCGACGTTCTATGATTCCTAGAGTACGATATTTCAGTTTTACGATTTTTGAATTTTTCGATTCAATTTTTGGCGCTTCTAAATTTTCGATTTGTCAATTTCTCGATTAATCGATTTTCCGACTTTCCTATTTCTCGATTTTTCAATTTTTGAGTTTCTCATGTTCTCGATATCTCAGTTTTGGCATTTTTCAATTTTTCGATTCTTCTTTTTTTTTCATATTCTAATTTTTCGAGTTTTTAAATTTTAAATAGATTTTTCACTTTTTTCATGTTTCGATTTCTCGATCTTTAGATTTTTCGACTTCTCGCTTTCGGATTTTTCGGATTTTCAATTTTTCGAATTTTAAAATTTTTGATTTTTCGACTTTTCAATTTTTCAGTTTTTCAATTTTGTTTAGGTATAAATTTTTCAATTTATCGTTCTCAACTTTTCGATTTCTCGATCTTTTGATACTTCTGCTTCTCGGTGTTTCAATTTTTCAGTTTCGATTTCTCCGTTTTTCAATTATTCGACTTTTCAATTTCCCAGTTTTTCAACACTTCAGTTTTGGGATTCTTCAGTATTTTAAATTTCTCGATTTTTCAGTTCTCCGATTTTTTCAATTTTTCAGTTTTTCGAATTTTACAATTTTAGATTTTCCCTTTTTTCATGTCTCGATTTCTCAGCCTTTCGATTCTTCGACTTCTCACTTTTTTTTTCGGTTTTTCAATTTTCGATTACTCGATTTTCAATTTTCCGATATTTCTGTTTACGGATTTTCCAATTTTATGGTTCTTCGATTTCTTATTTTTGTTATTTTTCAATTTCGCAGTATTCCGATATTTCAGTTTTATGATTTTTCAATTATTTTTTATTTAAAATTTTCGTTTTCTCAATTTCTTTTTTTGACTTTCTGAATTTTCGATTTTTCGACTGTTCGATTTTTCGTCATTCCAATTTCTCAGGTTTTCGATGTTTCAGTTTTGGCATTTTTCAATATGTACATATTTCAATTTTTCGATTTTTTAAATTTTTGATTTTTCACTTTCTTCATGTTTCAGTTTCTCGATATTTCGATTTTTCGACTTCTCGCTTGTAGATTTTTCGGGTTTTCAATTTTTAGAATTTTAAAATGTTTGACTTTTCGACTTGTTAATTTTTCGGTTATAAATTTTTTAATTTTTCAGTTTTTCGAATTTTACAATTTTAGATTTTTCACTTTTTGATGTTTCGATTTCTCGATCTTTCGATTCTTGGACTTCTCACTTTTTTTCGGTTTTTCAATTTGTTGATTCTTCAATTTCTCGAGTTTTTGAATTTCCGATTTCTCGTTTTTGTTTTTTTTTTTTTTTTGAAATTCACAATATTCCGATATTTCAGTTTTACGAGTTTTCAATTTTTTGATATTTAAATTTTTCGGTTTTTCAATTTTTAGCGTTTCTAAATTTTCGGTTTCTCAATTTCTCGATTAATAATTTTTTTGGTTTTTCAACTTTATGAATTTTAGATTATTCGACTTTCCAATTTCTCAGGTGTTCGATGTTTCAGTTTTGGAATTTTTGTTTTTCAATTTTTCGATTTCTTAAATTTTAGAATTTTCGATTTTTTGATGTTTTGATTTTTCGTCCTTCAATTTTTCGATATTTTAATTTTTCAGTTTTTTTAATTTTAGTAGATTTTTCGATTCTTCAATTTTTCGATTTTTTAAATTTTAAATAGATTTTTCGGTTTTTCGATTTATATCAATTTTACGAATTTTTAAATTTTAGATTTTTGACTTTTCTCGTGTTTCGATTACTCGATCTTTCGATTCTTCGACTTCTCACTTTTTTTCGGTTTTTCAATTCTTCGATTACTCGATTTTCAATTTTCCGATATTTCTGTTCGCGGATTTTTCAATATGTTGATTCAATTTCTCTATTTTTTGAAGTTTTGATTTCTCGTATTTGTTATTTTTCAATTTCGCTTTATTCCAATATTTTAGTTTTACGATTTTTCAATTTTTTGGCATTTAAATTTTTCGGTTTTTCAATTTTTGGCGTTTTTTTTTTGGTTTTTCGACTTTCTGAATTTTCGATTTTTCGACTTTCCAATTTCCCAGTTTTGGATGTTCCAGTTTTGGGATATTTCAATATTTCAATTTTTCCATATTTTAATCTTTCGATTTTTTAAATTTTAAATAGATTTCTCGGTTTTTCGATTTTTTTCAATTTTACAGCTTTTTAAATGTTAGATTTTTCACTTTTTTCATGTCGCGATTTCTCGGTCTTTCGAATTTTGACGCTTTTAGATGTTTTCGGATTTTCAATTTTTCGAATTTTAAAATTTTTGACTTTTCGACTTCTCAATTTTTCGGTTATAAATTTTTCAATTTTTGAGTTTTTCAAATTTTATAATTTTAGATTTTTCACTTTTTTTCGAATTCTCCTTTTTTGTTATTTTTCAATTCTGCAATATTCCGATATTTTAGTTTTAAGATTTTTTCAGTTCTTCGGTTTTTCAATTTTTGGCGTTTCCAAATTTTCGGTTTCTCAGTTTCTCGACTAATCGATTTTTTGGTTTTTCGATTTTCTGATTTTTCGATTTTTCCATTTTTCGACTTTTCGATTTTTCAACTTTCCGACTTTCTGAAGTTTTCGATGTTTCAGTTTTGGAATTTTTCAATTTTTTGTTATTTAAATTTTAGATTTTTAGATTTTTTTATGTTTTGATTTCTCGATTTTTCAATTTCTCGATCTTTCGAGTTCTCGCTATTAGATTTTTCGGTTTTAAAGTTTTGGATTTTTCAGTTTTTCCGTTTTTTAAGTGTAAATTTTTCAGTTTTTCGATTTCTCGATCTTTTGATGTTTCGATTTCTCGATGTTGCAATTTTTCAGTTTTTAGATTTCTCGGTTTTGTTATTGTTCAATTTCGCAATATTCCGAAATTTCACTGTTATGATTTTTCAATTTTTCAGCTTTAAAATTTTTCGGTTTTTCAATTTTTTGCGTTTCCAAATTTTCGCTTTCTCAATTTCTCGATTATTCCATGCCCGAGTTAAAATTTTTTAATATGTATTTCAATTTTTTGATTTTGCGACTTCTCAATTTCTCGGTCTTTTAATGTTTCGAGATCTCCACGTTTCAGTTTTTCGATTCTTCAAGTTTTCGACATTTCTGTTCTGGGATTTTTCAATTTCTCGATTTTTTAGTTTTTCGATTCTTCAGCCTTTCCATTTCTAGATTTTTTGTTTTTTGATTTTTTAAGTTTCATGTTTCCGATTTTTCATTTTTGGATTTTACAAGATTTTTTTGTTTCGATTTCCCGATTTAAATTTTTTTTAAATTTATTTAAATTTTTCGATTTGTCAACATTTTGGTTCTACGGTTTTTAAAATTTTTCGATTTCCCGATTTTTCAAGTTTTCGATTTCTCAATTTTTTAACATTTCAGTTTAAAGAATTTGTTAATTTTTCGATATTTTCATTTTTCAAGTTTTTACATTTTAGATTTTTTGATATTTCGATGGCTCGATTTTTCAGTTTTTCAATTTTTAAAATATTTGATGTTTCTATTTTTCGATTTTTCAATTCTTCAATTTTTCGAATTTTTAAATTTTAATTTTTTCACTTTCTCAATGTTTCGATTTTTCGATTTTCAATTTTTTGTTTTCTTGATTTAACAAGACTTCAATGATGATTTGTTTTTTTTTTGTGACTTTTGGTTTAAATTTTAAATTTTGATTTTTTTCGACTTCTCATTTTCTAGATCTTGATGTTTTCCATTTTTTAAATTTTACATTTTGATTTTACGATTTTTTGTTGTTTCGATTGTCCCAGTTAAAATTTTTTAATATGTATTTAAATTTTTCGATTTTCCGACTTCTCAATTGCTCAATCTTTTGATGTTTCGATTTCTCGGTGTTTCAGTTTTTTCGATTCTTCAGGTTTTTCATTTTTTCATTCGATTTTTCAATTTTTGGATTTTATAATTTTGTAATCTTTCGATTTTAAATCTTTTAATATGTATTTAAATTTTTCGGTTTTTTAACTTTTTTACTTAAAATTTTTAATTTTGATTTTTTCGACTTCTCATTTTCTCGATCGTTTGATGTTTCAATTTCTCGATGTTCCAATTGTTCAATTGTTTAACTTTCGGAAATTTCAGTTTTGCTCGAATTTCCAGTTTTTCAATTCTTCAATTTTACATTTTTTCGAACTTCTAAACTTTAGATTTGATTCCAGGTTTTTTTTAATTTTTGGTTTTTCGATTTTTTAAATTTTGCATTTTCGATTTTACGACTCTTTGTTGTTTCAATTGCCCGAGTTAAAATTTTTTAATATGTATTTCAGTTTTTCAATTTTCCGACTTCTCGATTTCTCGATCTTTTGATGTTTCGAGATCTCAGCGTTTCAGATTTTCGATTTTTCTATTTTTCGACATTGCTGTTTTGGGATTTTTCAATTTCTCGATTTTTTAGTTTTTCGATTTTTCATTTTTGGATTTCACAATTTTTTTTTTTTGTTTCGATTTCCCGATTTAAAATTTTTTAATATGTATTTAAATTGTCGATTTCTCGACATTTTAGTTTTTCGGTTTTTAAAATTTTTCGATTTCTCGATTTTTCAAGTTTTCGATTTCTCAATTTTTTAACATTTCAATTCAAGGAATTTGTCAATTTTTCGATATTTTCATTTTTCGAGTTTTTAAATTTTAGATTTTTTGATATTTCGATGGCTCGATTTTTCAGTTTTTCAATTCTTAAAATATTTGATGTTTCTATTTTTCGATTTTTCTATTCTTCAATTTTTCGAATTTTTAAATTTTAGTTTTTTCACTTTCTCAATGTTTCTATTTTACGACTTCTCGGTTTTAGATTTTGAAATTTTTTTATTTTTGAGTTTTTCGATTATTCAATTTTTTGTTTTCTTGATTGATCATGACTTCGATGATGATTTATCCTTTTTTTTTTTGTAACTTTTTTGGTTTAAATTTTTAATTTTGATTTTTTCGACTTCTCATTTTCTCGATCTTTTGATGTTTTAATTTTTCGATTTTTTAAATTGATTTTCCAATTTCAGGTTTTTTTAATGTTTGGTTTTTCCATTTTTTAAATTTTTCAATTTTCCGACTTCTCAATTTCTCAATCTTTTGATTTTCAATTTTCCGACATTTCTGTTTTGGGTTTTTTCAATTTCACGATTTTTTCAGTTTTTCGATTCCTCAGGTTTTCCATTTCTCGATTCCTAGTTTTGATTTTTTAGTTTTTCGATTTTTTAAATTTCACGTTTTTCGATTTTCGGAATTCACAATTTTTTAATATTTCGATTTCCCGTTTTAAAATCTTTTTAATATGTATTTAAAGTTTTCAAATTTTCGATTTCTCAATTTTTCAACGTTTCATTTGCTGGATTTTTCGATTTTTTAAATTTTTGATATTTCGAAATAATTAAATAAAGATTTATTAGTAGGAAACAAACTAACAACAGATGCGATAAAAAACCCTGTAGTTATTTGTTGATCATCTTTTGTTATTAAAACAAATATCTGTTTTTACATCGACACGATATGCCAAAAAAAAGTGAGATTATAACCAAGTGACGTGATGCAAACTTGAAACCTACGTTCCTGAAAAAAAAAACTAGTATTTTTTTTTTTTGTAATTTGAAAAAGTGAACCTACTTTTCAAAAATATTGCAATATTATTAAAATAGACAGAGGCTATTTTGTAATACTTAATAATGATACTTACCTTACCTATTTTGATGTTTTTCTGTTTGGCATTTGTCGGTTTAGCGAAAAAGTCCCGAAACCGCTAAAATGTTATTTATTTCATGGTTGTAGAAAAAGTTGTGTGTGTGACTCATGCAGAAAGTGGGTGATTATTTTACTCATCCACCTACCTATCAGAGTACCCAATTGAAGTAATATTTATTTCTTATGCGTGAAATAATCAAACTCATTCTTTTATTTGTACAAATAACAGTTAGTAGTATACGTTAATTTTTGGAATTATGCGATCTCAGGTGGCGTACGTCGACTTCAAGCCAGTAGTCTGCTGCTGCGGCCATATCTTCTGCTTCGCCTGCGGTGAAAACTGGCACGATCCAGTCAAATGCAGCCTCTTAAAAAAGTGGATAAAAAAATGCGACGACGATTCCGAAACCTCGAACTGGATCTCTGCCAACACGAAAGAGTGCCCGAAATGCGGCGCCACGATCGAGAAAGACGGCGGTTGCAACCACATGGTGTGCAAGAACCAGAATTGCAAGGCCGATTTTTGCTGGGTCTGTTTGGGCTCGTGGGAGCCGCACGGCAGCTCGTGGTACAACTGCAACAAATACGACGAAGACGAAGCCAAAGCGGCCAGAGACGCCCAAGAGAGGTCGCGGGCTGCCCTCCAACGCTATCTTTTCTACTGTAATCGATACATGAACCACATGCAATCCTTAAAATTTGAACATAAATTGTATTCTTCAGTTAAAGATAAGATGGAGGAGATGCAGCAGCATAACATGAGCTGGATCGAAGTCCAGTTTTTGAAAAAAGCGGTTGATATTCTGTGCAAATGTCGGCAGACATTGATGTATACGTACGTGTTCGCGTACTACCTCAAGAAGAATAATCAGTCTGTGATATTCGAAGATAACCAAAAAGATCTGGAGAGGACGACGGAGTTGCTGAGTGAGTACCTAGAGAGGGATATCACTCAGGAGAATCTCGTTGATATTAAGCAGAAGGTGCAGGATAAGTATAGGTATTGCGACGGGAGGAGGAAGGCCTTGCTAGATCACGTGCACGAAGGATACGAGCAAGACTGGTGGGTCTGCAAGGAAGCTTAGATAATTAATTTCAAGTTCAGAATCGGTCCTCGAACCTTAGTAGCATTTTTTAAATTAAATTAATACATTTTTTTATTTCGTTGAGGGAAGTTTTATTTGGAAACCTGTTCTCCATGTATACTTTGGAATAAAATTTTACAGAAGGCCAGTTTTGATTCCTGAGTATCCTGGAACTTTGCCCGTAGTTAGTTTCTGATTTCAGGTTGCCAACACTGAATGCATAGTAAATATTAAGCTTAATCACCGGTCATACTTTTAATACGTGAATGATCTTAAGATATTTACTTATCTATTACTGATGTATATTTACTCCGTAAGAATGACGGATTTATTGGAACGGATATCACAACTAATAGATGATGTAATTTTTGAGTGAATCGACGGCGACGTTATAAAACGCTACCGGAATTAAGGATTGAAGCAAATTTTTGTGTTGGTCATTCTGAATAATTGGCAGCAATGCTAGTATGTCAGTTTACAGATGTCAATTTGACAATCAGGTATGCCACCATAAAATTTTAAGTATATTGCCAACCTGACAAAAAATCACAACTATTAATAATAATCATTAGATATTTTTAAAGGCGTAACACAGAATTTTTACGGTAAGTATTGAAATTTCTTATTACACTTAGCACACAGTTTAGAGGATTCTGCCGTCTTTCTTTTTCCACAAATGGTTCGACATTTCGATTTTTTAATTTTTCCATTTCTCAAATTCCTGTTTCAGTTTTGGGATTTTTCAATATTTCGGTTTTTTTTTATTTTTTCGATTTTTCAATTTTTCGAATTTTTAAATTTTCGATTTTCCCTTTTTTAGTGTTACGATTTTTGGGTTTTCATATTTCGATTTTTAAGGGTTAAATTTTTCGATTTATAGAGATTTCGAATTCTCAATTTTTCGATTCCGATTTTTCGGCTTTTTGAGTTTAAATTTTTCAATTCTAAATTTTTCGATTTTTCAACATTTCGATTTTCCAATTTTTTCGATATTTTAATTTCTCGATTTTTTAAAAGATATTTCCATTTCTCGATCTATCAGTTCTTCGATTTTTTCAATTCTTCGAATTTTTAAATTTTAGATTTTTAATTTTTTTGATGTTTCGATTCCTCAATCTTCCGATTTTTCACTTTTTCGTGTTTTGAGTTTTTATTGTTACGATTTTTCTGTTTATCGTTTTTTTAAGTTTAAATTTTTAAATTTTTCGGTTTTTCAATTCTTCATTTTTTCGATGTTTAGTTTTTCGTTTTTCTTAAATATTTCGATTTTTTCCACTTTTCAATTTTTTCGAATTTTTTAATCTTTAGGTTTTACTTTTAGGATATTTTGGTTTCTAGATCTTTCAATTTTTCGATTTTTAAAACTTCTGATTTTTCAGTTTTCGTTTTTAAACTTACCTATTTCCCGATTTATCGAAATTTCAATGTTGCGATTTATCGGTTTTGTAAGTTTGAATTTTAAAATTTTTCGAATTCTCGATTTTAATGTCTTCATTTCTCGATGGTTTCAATTTTTAAATTTATATTTTTCGAAATTTAAGTTTTTTTCAATTTCTTAATTTTTCAGTTTTTCGCTTCTTTCAATTTATCGATTTTTTAAATTTAAGATTTTTCGATCTCCCGATTTCTGTTTTTTTTTTTATTTTTTTAGTTTTTCAATTTATTAAATTTCACGTTTTCGATTTTTCTACTTTTCAATTTTTCGATTTCTTGATTTTTCGACTTTTCTATTCCCCGATTTTTCAATTTTTCGAATTTTCGAGATTTTATTTTTATGATTTTTCGATTTATCGTCCTTTTTTAAGTTCAAATTTTTCGATTTTTCAATTCTTTATTATTTCGATATTTTAGTTTTTCAATTTTTCGGTTCTTCGTTTTTTTCCATTTTTCAAATTTTCGTATTTTTTTATGTTTAGGCTTTTCACTTTTTTGATATTTCTATTTCTAGACCTTTCAATTTTTAAAATTTATGATTTTTCAGTTTTCGATTTTCCCGTTTTTCGATTTCTGGATTTATCAAGATTTCAATGTTGCAATTTATCGGTTTTTTAAGATTACATTTTAAAATTTTTAGAACTTCCGGTTTTTCGAAATTTAAGTTTTTGGATTTTTCAATTTCTCGTTTTTTCAGTTGTTCGATTCTTCAGTTTTCGCTTTTTTCAATTTTTTCATTTTTAAATTTAAGATTTTTCGAATTCTAGTCTTTATTAATTTTTAGTTTTCCGATTTTTTAAATTTCACGTTTTCGATTATTCTACTTTTCAATGTTATGATGTTTTGATAATCCATTTAATTTTTTTTTAAGTTTTTAAGTAAGTATTTCAATTTTTCGATTTATCGACTTTTCGGTTTTTTGACTTTCCTATTTTCCGATTTTTCAAGTTTTCAATGTTACAGTTGTGAGATTTTTCCATATTTCGATTGCTTGAGTTTTCACTTTATGGATTTTTCAAAAATTTGTGTTGCTTTGATGTCTCGATTTTATAGGTTTTCGATTTTTCTATTTTTGATGGTATTTTTCAATTTTTAGAATTTCTAAATTTTAGATTTTTCATTTTTCTCACGTTTTGATATCATAAATTTTCCAATTTTGCGATTTTCCGCTTATGTTTGAGATTTTCAATTTCGTTGTCGCGGTTTTTCGTTTATTGGACTTTCCAAATTTCCGATTTTTCAATTTTTCGACATTACAGTTTTGTGACTTGAAATTTCCCGATTTTTCGATTTTTTGATTTTTCAATTTTTCAATATTTTAATTTTCTCGATTTCTCAGGTTTTCGATGTTTCAGTTTATGGGATCTTTCAATATTTCGATTTTTTGATTTTTCAGTTTATCGATTTTTCAAAAATTTGTGTTGCTTTGATGTCTCCATTTTTTAGGTTTTCGATATTTCAATTTCCCGATTTTCTAAATTTTAAATATTTTGAATTTTTTCTATTTTTCAATTTTTCGAATTTTAAATTTTAGATATTTCATTTTTCTCACGATTTGATTTCACAAACTTTCCAATTTTGCGACTTCTCGCTTTTAGGTTTTTAGGTTTTTCAGTTTCAAATTTTTAAAACTTTCAATTTTTCGATTCGCGATTTATCGAGATTTCAGTCTCTGAAATTTTCAATTTCGTTTTCTCGGTTTTTCGATTTTTGAACTTTCCAAATTTTCGATTTTTCAATTTCTCGACATTCTAGTTTTGGGACTTTTGAGTTTGTCAATTTTTCAGTTTTTTGATTCTTCAATATTTCGATTTTACAATTTTTCAATATTTTAAATTTTAGATTTTCGATTTCTAGTTTTTTTTTTATTTTGTAGTTTTTCGATTTTTTAAATTTTACATTTTTGATTTTTCCGTCTCTTGATTTTACGCTTTTTTGATGTTTCGATGTCCTGATTTAATTTTTTTTTAATTTGTATTTCAATTTTTCGACTTCTCGTTCTTTAGATTTTTCAAATCTCGATTTCCCACTTTTTCATCATTTCAGTTTTAAAAAAATTTCAATTTCTGGGTTTTCAAATTTTTCGATTAATCCAATTTTCGATTTTTTCTATTTTAAATTTTTTTGATGTTTCGATTTTTCAATTTTTCGATTTCTCGACCGAGATTTCGATGTTCCGATTTTTCGAATTTTTAAGGTTAAATTTTTCAATTCTTCGATTTTTCGACTTCTCGATTTCTCGATGGTTCAATTTTTCAGTTTCGATATCTCGATTTTTCAACATTTCAGTTTCGACTTTTCAACATTTCAGTTTCGATTTTTATTATTTAAATTTTTTAAATTTTACATTATCGATTTTTCCATTATTCGATTTTACGAATTTTTGAGGTTTCAGTTTCCCGATTTTAAATTTTAAATATAAATTTCAATTTTCGAATTTTGAGTTATCGAGGTCTCGGTTTTTCGATTTTTAAAATTTTTCGACTTTTCGATTTTTCGATTTTTGGACTTTACAATTTTTCGATATTTCAGTTTTGGGATTTTTTAATTTCTCCGATTTTTCAGTTTTTTGATTCAATATTTCGATTTTTCAATTTTTCAAAATTTTAAATTCTAGATTTTTCGATTTCTCAAGCTTTCGATGCTTCAGTTGTGGGATTTTTTGATTTTTCACTTTATTGATTTTTCAAAAATTGTTGTTTTGATGTCTCGATATTTCAGGTTTTCTATTTTTCATTTTTTCGATATTTCAATTTCTCGATTTTCTAAATTTTAGATATTTAATTTTTTGTATTTTTAAATTTTAGTTTCTTCATTTTTCTCATGTTTTGATTTCTCAAACTTTCGATTTTTGCTACTTCTCGCTTTTAGATATTTGGGTTTTCCAATTTCGAATTTTTACATATTTGGTTTTTCAATTATTTAATTTTTCGACATTTCAGTTTTGAGATTTATTTTCAGTTTTTTGTTTAGATTTTTCGTTTTGTAGTTTTTTTTTATTTTTTGTTTTTCGATTTTTTAAATTTTACATTTTTGACTTTTTCATCTTTTGATTTTACGCTTTTCTGATGTTTCGATTTCCTGATTTTTTTTTAATATGTATGTATTTAAATTTTTCGACTTTTTGTTCTTTGAATTTTTCTATTTTTCAAGTTTTCGATTTTCCAGTTTTTCAACATTTCAGTTTTGGAAATTTTTCAATTTCTGGATTTTTCAATTTTTCGATAAATTCATTTCTCGATTTTTTAAATTTTATTTTTTTTTATATTTCGATTTTGAAAATTTTTCGAATTTTTAAATTTTAGATTTTTCACGTTTCTGGTGTTTCTTCGATTTTTCAATTTTTCCATTTCTCGATCGAGATTTCGATTTATGGGATTTTTAAGTTTAAATTTTTCAGTTTTGGGATTTTTCAATTCTTCGATTCTTCAAGTTCTCAATTTGTAGTTTTTTGATTTTTTAAATTTTACATTATCCATTTCTCCATTTTAAATTTTAAACTTTTCGATTTCTGGTTTTTTCAAGTTTTTGATTCATTTTTCAATACTTTTTGAGTTTTTCAATTTTTTAAATTTTAGATTTTTTGATGTTTCAGTTGCCCGATTTTATTGCCGGGACTAATACCTGAGACAAATTTTTGTGTTGGCAATTCTGAATTATTGGCAGCAATGCTCGTGTGTCAGTTCATAGTCGTCAATTTTGACATGAACACTCATAAATGTCAATCTGATCCTCAGGTATGCCATCATAAAAGTTTAAACATGTTGCCAACCTGACAAAAAATTCACAAACATTAATAATCACTCGTAACTTCGATATCCAAAACTTTTACGGTAGTTGCACTTTTTTCCTGCAAATGATTCGATTTGGTTTCCAGACTGATATACCGGGTGGCTATTAATGACTGTGATTTTTTTGTCATGTTGGCAACATATTTAAAAATTTATCAAATTACCAAGTCATCGTCTCAACACGTTTGTATGGTGCTTTAGGCGCGCTCCTGTCATTCCTGTCAAAAATGACAACTGTGTAATGACATGTTAACATAGCTACCAATAATTTAGAATTACCACCAAAACAAATTATTTCAATCATTAACAGTCACCCAGTATTGAAACATAGTGTGAAAAAAATTGTTATAACTTTTTTTCCAAGCCCCCTTAACTTTAATTTTGTCAACTTGACATTAAATAAATAATCATTTTAGTTTAAAACAAACTGGAAAAAAAAATTAAAACCAAAAGGAGAATACTTTGTAATGCTTTAATTAATATTTTAATGAGGAACAACAGATTTATAATAACGTTTGCTCACAAATATGAATATGTAAAGTTGGTTGCCTATGCAGCGCCTGAAATTCAAGTGGTCAACTCTTTAAACAATACTAAATCAATCGATTAAAATTGTTTTAATTATTTTGACGAATTTATTTAATATAATAAAGCTTACTTTGTTTTAGAAACCTTAAAATAAATATTTTACTTCTGTAACGCACGCATTAAAAAATTAAGGTACGCCACTGGACGAACGGAAAGTTTCGTACCTTTCCCGACGCCGCCACTGTCTTCCCACGTGACTCCTTGCCCCTGCTAAACGTCACCCGTGACGTCAGCGCCAAAATCAAATTACCAAATTTAGGAAGCATGGAAAATTTGGGACAACAATCAATTAACCACTCAATCAGTCTTAATAATCGTTGTTAATGTCTAGTTCTCACAAGCCTGCTTCTACTTACATCGATATGAATCAATATACAAAAATTTGTTCATCACTACAAAAAGCCACTCAAATATACATCATCTCAGCCATCGAACTCATTTTTTTCGGTATATGGACAAACGTCTCAAAATAACTCGCAAGTTCATCGATTGTCACATCACAAGGGGGCGTCACGTTAATCCTCGCCTGGTGCGAGCAGCTCGTTCCTACAGTACACGCTTCAGATCTCGACGACAAACTACTAGACCTAGACCTCGGTTTCTGAAAACTAGCCGAACTGTAACACTCAGTCTCACTATTCGGCGCGCTCAGAGTCAGTTTCTTACAGGCGTCCACTATCGACTTGAAGTCGCGCTCTTTGTACCGCGCGCACTGGCCGAACAGTTTCTCTTTGCGCTTCTTCGAGATTTTAACGTTGTGCATTTTATCACTGTGCGAGCATTTGATGAACTTGAGAATGGGGTCCCGCAGGATCTTCTTGTTGGGGCGCTTGAAGGACGTGGTGTGTCTGATCGCGAGGTTCTTCTTAAGGCAGTCGCAAGTCGAGCCGAAGTTGATGCTCGACAGGGACTTGGAGCGCCTGCGGTGCATGAAGGGGTTCGCGGGGGCATCCGTGGGGGGCTTCTTAGTCTCCAAGTCGAGCTTCTGGAGGCTGCTCAATAAGGTTTGGTCTCCTTGCGACATTTTTGCTACCTAGGGCGAGATGGAAAAAATTCAACTGGGTCAAGGTTTGACAGGACCAAAACAAACCGGGATTTTCGGGATGCTGCTCACCTATTTTCAATGCATTCCTCATTATCTCGACGGATCCCTGAGAGGGAAAATTGGGGGAATTTTCCGACAGACGGGACGAAGGGAATTGTTGTTTATGATGCAACTGCTAGATAAACCAAAACACAAATATTGATGACTAATGATGAATAGATCTGAGGCGCACAACGTCACTGCGCATGTGCGGAGGGAGATGTCAGTTCTAGAAGGATTGGAAAAAGCGCGCCGATTTTTAAAACTTCACAGGGAAATGGGTTTATTGCCAAGGTGGTATATACAGGAGGTGGATTAAAACCAATAAATCGGTAAAAATCGATCAAATATGAGTGCATTATGATTAATGATTCAAATAAAATTTAAATAGCGCATTTTTGGAAATGTAGGCAACCAACATTCTCTTTCTAAGGGTAAGTTTTTGATTTGGAAGAACTTTGATTATATTATATAAATTACAGACAGGCGACAGACAGATAGACGTAAACGGAAGACCTGTGCTATAAAACTATTTATAAAATAACACATCTGTCAAACAGAACCAAACCAAATCACGCCGAGCCAAGCCAAGTCGAGACACACACCGAGTCGAAGAACCGTAAAAAAATCGGTTCTTTTCAGAACCACAAATAGCATTCATTACAAATAAGAGATTAAGCAGCCTAGAAAATGGAAAAGTATGAATCTGCCTTAATTTTTTTATCTTGAACATTCAGATTTTTGGAAAAAAATTCAAAATTGTGAAATTTATTCAGTTTATTTTAGAATCTGTAACATTATTTTGGAATTTTAAGAACATTTTAAAATGATTATAACCATGATAAATCGCTAATCAAAATTTATCTGTTTATGTTTATCCCCTCCAAAAACTTGATGACGTAATCCCACAATTTTGTTGAATGAAATTATAATGTGCAAAACATCATCTCTGTCTATTTATCTAATTTATTATTGCACGAATAAAGATATCAGGAACTACACCTTCAAAATTTCGATTTCTGAATAAGAAATTTCAAGATTTAGAATTTTAGGATCGATTCAAAATTCACAATTTCACTATTTGCGATTTCTGGAATGAGTATTTCAGGATTTGGAATTTCGTCAATCTATATTATGAGATTCAAGATTTTAGGTTCAGTACTCACGGTTTTATGGATTTACGTTTCTAATATTCAGGATTTTAGAATTTCAGACTTCTGAATTTTGGAATTATTATTTCTAGGATATAGGAATTGCAGAAATAATGACCTTCAAAATTTAGATTTCTGAACACGAAATTTCAAGAAGTGGAATTTTAGAATCCATTTAAAATTCACAATTTCATTATTTGCGTTTTCTGGAATGAGTATTTCAGGATTTTAGAATTTCAGAATTCAAAATCTTGGAATTCAATTCTTAGGATTTAGGATTGCAGGAACTTTGACTTCAGGAACTCAACCTTCAAAATTTAGATTTCGGAAGACGAAATTTCAAAATTTAGCATTTTAGGATTCAAAAATCACAATTTCATTATTTGCGATTTTTGGAATGAGTATTTTAGAATTTGGAATTTGAGGAGTCTATATCACCCGATTCAGGATTTTAGAATTTCAGAATTCGGATTTTTGGAATTTAATTTTTAGGACTTAGGATTGCAAAAATGGTGACTTCAAGAACTGCACCTTCAAAATTTGGATTTCTGAACACGTAATTTCAAGATTTAGAATTTTGAAATTGATTCAAAATTCAGAATTTCTGTATTTGCAATTTCTGGAATGATTATTTCAGGATTTGGAATTCGTCAATCTAAATTATGAGATTCAGGATTTTAGATTCAGGAGTCGCGGTTTTGTGGATTTATGTTTCTAATATTCAGAATTTTAGAACTTCAGAATTCAGAATCGTGGAATTCAATTTTAAGGATTTAGGATTGCAGGAATGAAGATTTCAGGAACTCAACCTACAAAATTTAGATTTCGGAATACGAAATTTCAAGATTTAGAATTTTAGGATTCAAAATTAACAGTCTCATGATTTGCGATTTTTGGAATAAGTATTTCAGAATTTGGAATTTGTGGAGTCTACATTACGAGATTCAGGATTTTACAATTTCAGAATTCGGATTTTTGGAATTTAATTTTTAGAATTTAGGATTGCAGGAATGATGACTTTAGGAATTACACCTTCAAAATTTAGATTTCTGAACAAGAAATTTCAAGATTTAGAATTTTAGAATCGATTCAAAATAAACAGTATCACTTCTTTACGGTCTCTAGAATGAGTGTTTCAGGGTTTGGAATTTCGTCAATCTATATTATCAGATTCAGGACTCGCGGTTTTAAGGATTTAAATTTCTGATATTCAAGATTTTAGAATGTATGTCAGAATTCAGAATCATGGAACTCAATTTTTAGGATTTAGGATTGCAGCAATGTTGACTTCAGGAACTCAACCTTCAAAATTTAGATTTCGGAACACGAAATTTCAAGATTTAGAATTTTAGAATTGATTCAAAATTCAGAATTTCAGTGTTTGCAATTTCTGGAATGAGTATTTCAGGATTTGGAATTTCGTCAATCAATATTATGAGATTCAGGATTTTCGAATTTCACAATTCGGATTTTTGGAATTCAATTTTTAGGATTTAGGATTGCAGGAATGATGCGTTCAGGAGCTACACCTTCAAAACTTCGATTTCAAAACACGAAATTTCAAACTTTAGAATTTTAGGATTTAAAATTCACAATTTCATGATTTACGATTTCTGGACTGAGTATTTCAGAATATGAAACTTCGTGAGTCTATATTATGAGATTCATGATCTTAGAATTTCAGAATTCGGATTTTTGGAATTTAATTGTTAGGATCTACGATTGCAAAAATGATGATTTCAGGAACTACACTTTCAAAATTTCGATTTCTAAACAGGAAATTTCAAGATTTAGAATTTTAGAATTGATTCAAAATTCAGAATTTCAGGATTTGCAATTTCTGTAATGAGTATTTCAGGATTTGGAATTTCGTCGATCTATATTATGAGATTCAGGATTTTAGATTCAGGAGTCGCGGTTTTATGGATTTATGTTTCTGATATTCAGGATTTTAGAATATCAGAATTCAGAATCATGGAATTGAATTTTTAGGATTTACGATTGCGGGAATGATGACTTTAGGAATTACACCTTCAAAATTTAGATTTCTGAACACGAAATTTCAAGATTTAGAATTTTAGGATCGATTCAAAATTCACAGTATCACTTTTTTGCGGTTTCTAGAATGAGTATTTCAGGGTTTGGAATTTCGTCAATCTATGTAATGTAATTATGAGATTCAGTATTTTAGATTCAAGACTCGCGGTTTTATGGATTTAAATTTCTGATACTCAAGATTTTAGACTGTCAGATTTCGGAATTTTTGAATCCAATTTTTAGGATTTAGGACTGTAAGAATGATGACTTCAGGAAGAAAGCCTTCAAAATTTAGATTTCTAAACACGAAATTTCAAGAATTAGAATTTTAGAAGCGATTCAAAATTCAGAATTTCACTTTTTGCCATATCTGGAACGAGTATTTCAGGATTCGGAACACGCGATTTTATGGATTTAGAATTCAAAATCTTGGAATTCAATGTTAAGGATTTAGGATCGCAGGAATGATGACTTCAGGAACTCAACCTTCATAATTTAGATTTCGAAACACAAAATTTCAAGATTTAGAATTTTGGTATTCAAAATTCAGAATTTCATGATTTGCGATTTCTGGAATGAGTATTTCAGAATTTGGAATTTGGTGAGTCTATATTATGAGATTCAGGATTTTCTAATTTAATTTTTAGGATTTAGGATTACAAGAATGATGATTTCAGGAATTAGAATTTTAGAATCGATTCAAAATTCACAATTTCACTATTTGCGATTTCTGGAATGAGTATTTCAGAATTTAAAATTCCGTCAATCTATATTATGAGGTTCAAGATTTTAGGTTCAATACTCACGGTTTTACGGATTTAAGTTTCCAATATTCATGATTTTAGAATTTCAGATTTCGAAATTTTGGAATTCAGTTTTTAGGATTTAGGAATTGCAGAAATGAAGACCTCAAGAAATACAGCTTCAAAATTTAGATTTCTGAACACGAAATTTCAAGAATTGGAATTTTAGGATCCATTCAAAATTCACAATTTCATTATTTGCGATTTCTGGAATGAGTATTTCAGGATTTGGAATTTAATCAATCGGTTTTATAAATTTATGTTTGTGATATTCAGGATTTTAGAATTTCAGAACTCAGAATCTTGGAATTCAATTTTTAGGATTTAAAATTGCAGGAATGATGACTTCAGGAACTCAACCTTCAAAATTTAGATTTCGAAACACGAAATTTCAAGAGTTTTGAATTTTAGGATTCAAAATTTACAATTTCATGACTTGCAATTTCTGTAATGAATACATATTTCAGAATTTGGAATTTCGTAAGTCTATACAGTAAACCCTCGTTACTTCGAACTCGGATAAGACAAACACCCCGTTATTACGAACTGGAATCGAAGTCCCAAACAGTCCACTTATAAAATGAATGCAACTTAATTCGGTTTACACGAAATTCGGTTAATACGAAACTCGAACAACTTTTTCGGCCCCAAGTTATAATTCTCATATAAAATCACTCGGTTAACGCGAACAAAAAGTGCAAACTCCTTGCATCGTGCTCAAATACGATTTACTTTATCGTAATGGGTATCTAGTAAGCACAACGCAAAAATATCTCTGTGTATGGTTTACCGAGTTGTAATCAGTTCGTTCTTATTGTTCAATGTGCTAACGTCCAAGATGGCAGATCAAAAACCAAAAGGAGTCCAAAAATTCATTAATATTAAAACGAAAATGCAAACTGCAGTAGCTAAAAAGTTCACCATTCCAAAATCTACATAATCGACCATTCTGAAAACCCGATCTCAAATAAAAAAAAATTAGTGTTGGGATCATTTGCGTCAAATTTTTTCACAAAGTTGTTTAGGAAAATTGCTCCATGAAATTTTATATGTATGTAGTACTAGTACTAATGCTCAAAATTTGGTTATATATTGTTAGAAATCTATTACGAAGAAAACTCAGCTTAAACAAGTTGTTTTTATATATACATTTGTTTTTGTTATATTTTTATTTAAATGTCAAAAAGTGATTTTCGGTTATGAC